CATGCCTCCATTGGCCCACAAGCTGGATGACATCTTGGCATATGTACCACTCCATTCAATCACTTACAGCATAATATGTCCTTGCAATCATTCAAGGCCCAGGTAGCAGTAGGCTCATGGATCAAGACCCCTCTGTTATCCGATGGGGAAGTTGTTGCTCAAGTGATTGAGGCAGGTAATAAGGCAGATGCGAAGGGAGGGGGAAGGGCAAAGCAAAAGCAAATGATAGCATATAATTCTTACCCTATACACTATCAGCACGAGATAGAGGTACTTGACAATACACGTACCCGTGGGCACCCATGGGTACCCATGGGTACACCCACGGGTCTACCCATACCCATGTCACTTTGCCCGGGTCGGGTACGGGCACCGTCCTCGCCAGCACTTTGCCCGCGGGCACACCCACGGGTTAACCCGGGTATACCCATGCTAGACCCTACCAGTGACTCGCCAGTACGGTGGTAGTCAAGTTCCAGGTATGTTCTCTTATTCACCGCCCATCTGACAGCACGGCTGCCTTTGGACTGAAATATACTGCGAGCGCCCATTGGTATATATGGGACTGCCAGCGCCTATATCCGACCATCGAGGAAGGCGCATGTACTTACCGTGATCCCGCGCATAGTCTTAATGTAAGGAAGGTTCTGTCACCAGTGTAACCACGTACAAGGACATATATACGCGTATGTCCTTCCGTATCACGATCCCTCAGTCCACGCTTACAACACGACGCAGAACCGCATGACAAGGCGAAGACAGGAGACACATTGTAGACTTGATTCGCGATTAACACAACTCGCAGTCTCTGAACCTATGAAACTTTGAAGAAAATCCAGCCCCTGCACGCGTGCCACGGATCGTCCGCCCATATCAGAGCGCGGGCTGGTTGGCATCCTCCCCGTGAACCATGCCCTACTCGCACATCGTCCCCTTTCTTGTATCGGCGACCTCTCTAGGAATCGCTGTCACGAAAGCCCTTCCAATGCCGATATACGAGTCCCTCGTCTGCGTACCGACTTCGTGGACTGACGTGATCGTGTTCCTGCTCGAGAATTATGTTGCACATGCAGGCACCACACTTTCTACTCCTGGTGCGTCGTGGTACGACACGGTTGCGTGGAAGGTGATGGTGGTATTCGTACCCTTCGCAAGCTTGCGATATTCTCTGGAGCTTATCAAGCGTAAGATTCATTTGTGGGGTCGAAGGGACGACCTGGGTCGAGCTCTGGCAAGGGAAGCCCTCATTGTTGTCGCGCGAAATTCCAAAACGTGGAGACCTGCAAGGCGGCCCAACGTCGACAAGGTATACGTGCGGTTACAGGAAGGGTTCCTCTCGCATCATGCATTGTGAGTCCGCCGCTTCCCCATCACTGCAATCTCAGACTCACCATGTGCCAGCTCCCACCGGCGAGCGACGGCTGCACTTCAAATTGCTCCATGTAAGCCGGTTGACCACCGACATCGAAACATCTTTGGGAATATCGGGGTTCTACCAGAAGGTTATGTATGGTCGGAGTTGGATATGCATACAGCTACGCGGCATCTCCTGGAGAACCCTGAAAACGTCAACGTCAAACTCTCCAAGTCTCAGAGCTGGTTGCAAATGGCGATATCTATCGCACAACTATTTTTCTCTTCGATGACGCTGTACCGCGCAAGGGGCGATCAAATCGACTATTACGGATATGCAGCCTTTGGCTTATCCGTGATCCCGTATACCCTAATGTCTCTGGTAAACCTCTTCGGTAGCATGATCCTGGGGGATTATCCATACGTATACGTCCTGAATACCCCAGTGCTTCAGGAAGCTGCGCGGCGCCCGGACGCGAGCTTCGACGGGTACGTGGGCTACTTGCCACGCAACGAAACTGGTAGTACTGGCCCGCACGACCCTGCCTTTACTCCGGTTTATTTGTCCTGGCACTCTGAAGTGCAGACGGACGACGACGAAAAGAAATCTCGGGATATCCTTACGGTTAGAGTCGAGGATGGCTCGGAACCCAGAGAGTTCGAGCTCCTGTCGGACCCAAACGCCACAGACTTCGTCTTTCATATCCAATCCGTTACCAACACTAAACGAGTACCTCCATCCCGCACTGGTATTCGGTTGGAGTTGCTCCGCATACTACAAGCTGCATATGATAGCTGCCGATCCCAGGAAGGCTTCCGGGCAACCCGTGAGTATTTCTAACCTGTTGCTTACATCTTCCTGACTCAATACAGTTCGAAAGCGTCTTGGCCCCGACGTTCAACTCAACAAATCTGATTTGTTCGAAATTATAGGAGGGCCAGTGGCTCTGGTACTCCCGTACCTCGTGATATATGCTCTCAGCGGATTTAAGGCAGAGCGCAGCACCATCGCGCAGAGGGCATGGCTCATGGCGTGGCTAGGCATGGGCCAATTCTTTGGGGCGACTATCGCCACGCTCGGGAGATCGGGTTCCTTTTGCTGGTCATGGGTGAACGCTCTCAAGGTCTCAATCGTCTGCATATCTTTAGCTAGCGCGATGGGAGGATTCGTTGAGGTCATCATGATGTACCTCAGTTTTGGGTCGTGCTCGTTGACACCGAACTGATGAAACATATTTGCTTCCCTTCATTGTGTGGTGCTCTGCCGCTTTCTTGCTTTTGAGGCATACGGATTCTCCTCAGAAGGAAGTGACGCAGTTGACTGGCGGTTCGGTTGTGATTGCATGCTACATGCTTGATCATGAAGTTCACGACTTTCGCTCCCGTGGCCTGTACGTATCACTTCTACTGGTATGGCACCGCAGTCCGGAGCGCTATGAAACAGCGGCTGCTGTGACAAAATATCGATACTTCTCGCTTGCTGACAATGATGCGCGATGGCGACCTCGCCCCCTGTCTTCGAAAAGCCGCTGTCATCCGGCGGGATGGGAGTAGGGCCACTGAAGGGTTCCCGCTCAGTTCTGGTGTCTCCTCTTATTCGCTTCCTATGGGCATATTATGATCACTTGCTTAGATGGTGAGGAAACCGCATGTCTACGCATGGCTTCCTCAAAATAGAGTCGTATGTCTCTTCTGTCCGTCTTCCTAGGGTGAAATTGACCTGTAACTCTAGAGATTTGGCAAGACACCCGGGATGAATGAGGCACACGTTCCGCCTGCCAACCGCGATATTTCATGCAGACTCCACATTCATGGGCGAACCGGAGTGCCCGCTGTGCAGCTACGAAGCGCCTTCGGCAAACGAGGCTAAGGGTAAGCATCGCGTATCGGATTGTCCTGCTTCGAGTCGGCAGGATTGTGATCTGCTGAACCTTGTACACGATGCTGCCCTCTAGGCGTGTCAGCGATGCCTGGCTTTATATAAGTATCACCACTCGATCTGGCCGACCTTTACGCCCCGGTGTTTCCGGGGGCATGTTGCATTCTCGCCCCTCTTGCCTTCTGGCACTGTTGACCTTGCTAGCACTTACCGCGACCTCAGGCCTTACGATTCCCATACGTACTGCCTTGATCTGTGTGCCGGCTTCTCGGACCGACGTGGTCGTCTTCCTGGTGGAGAACTATATTACACATGCAGGGACGGCACGTTCCACCCCCGGAGCGCGGGCCTACGACACGATCGCCTGGAAGATAGTCGTCGTCTTCATACCCTTCGCCAGCTTACGATACTCTCTCGAACTCTTGAAACGAAGAATTATCTTGTGGAATCAACGGAGCGATCTCTATGGCGCGTTAATAAGTGAAGCACTCTTAGTTGTTGGGCGCGGTCAAGACTGGCAGCCTGCAGCTTCTCCGGACCTGGTCTATGTTGGAATACCCGATAACTACTTCTTGACTCCCTCTCAGTAAGGGCTCGCCATTTTCTTCCTCGAGACATATAGAATTGATGGATATACTTCATCAATGACCCGTTACCCTCCGCATGTCTTCATGTCTCTTCCTGTAGGAAAATAGATGTACGGCATCGTATCATTTCGGGGAATATGGAATGGAAACTTTCCGAGGTCTACGTGTGGGCTGAACCGAACTTCCAGGCGGCGTCTCAACAACTGCTGGGATGTGAAGCTACCCAGGTCCCATAGCAGATTGCAGATGGCAGTGTCGATCGGGCAACTGTTCTTCTCATCACTCACGCTATACCGCACCAGAGGAGACCAAATCAACCGGTACGGATATGCCCCGTTCGGTTTGTGTGTATTCCCTCACACCCTGATGTCTCTGGTCAATCTCCTGGGCAGCCTTCTACTTGGGAATTATCCCTACATGTATGTGCTGAGCACTCCAGTGCTCCAAGAGGCACAACGGCGGTGGCCATACCCCAGGTTTGACGGATGCGTTGGGTATCTGCCGCGGTCAGGAAATCCTAGTGTCTGCGCAGATCACACAAGGATGACCCCCGGGTACCTGTCTCTACGGTATGCATCCAAGACAGGCGAAAGTGATAACGCCTCTGCTGCCATCCTCAGGGTCGCCGTTGCGGGGATGCCTGAATCGGAGACTCGGGACTTTATCCTTCTCCCGAATGACGCTCCCGGAGCTGAATATGTATTCCACGTTGCATCGACCACAAACTCTTCTGTCGTGTATCGATCGCCTCGAGTTGCTACATGCACTACGAACCCTCCGTGAGGTCCTGAGTGGACAATCTCATAGTTAGCATTGGCCTGCTCGTATCTCACCCTTACTAAGTTCAGCCACAGTGCCAGACCTTCTGCAGTTGTCCACATCCGAGATCCTGGCTCAAGTCTTCGAATTCACAGTGGGGACAGCAGCCCTGGTGCTGCCTTACATAGTCATCTATGTCATCAGCGGCTTCCACAAGGGGAACAGCACCGTCGCGGAGAGAGAGTGGTTCATGGCGTGGTTGTGCACGGGGCAATTCTTCGGGGCTACGGTAGCCACCATCGGCAGATCCAACTTCTCCCCGCTCACGCCATTGAATGTCTTGAAAGCCGTGATAGTGCTGATTCCACTCGTGAGCGCCGTAGGAGGGTTCGTGCAAGTGATCAGGATGTATCTTGCTTTCGGGTCCTGCTCGTTGTCGCCCAGCTGATGTACGTCATTTTATCCACGGAAGAGAAGTCCACAGTACGTCTGCGTTTGCTGTCAGCAGTAATTTACTCCAGTAGTGATACCTTCTGTGATGTCTTGCATGTAGAGTCGCCTAGACGAGGCCAGCATACATTTTCCGCCGTCTCAGACATCCATCAGTCCCACTCATACAACGAACAATCCCTAGATGTCTTCTTGTACTTGATCCTTAGACGGTGTACCCATTCTTCTGATTACTCTCATCCACCAGCCTCTTCACCTCCTTCGCGATCTCGACCGCGCCCTATCACGACAACATCAGATTCGTTTCATGCTACACTGAGCGCAGACACGGACGTACTGGAGTATCGCTGTGCACGCATATGGACACCTCAGAGACATCTTCGGCAAAAGGGAGGGTGCCGCTCGTCGTCGTCAGCTGGCGGTTCTCGAGGAGGTTTGTTACCCTTCTGCGGACTTCTTCCAGAGTTACAGGGGCATGTTTCCTGCAGGACATACATCCCGATCACTGAGTAACCCACACACACATGGCTGTGTCGTACAATAAGACACACACTTGGTGATAAGGAGCTTGCCTTCGGGGCTGTAATCCAAATCCGCAAACCACTCGGGAATGAACCGCACCCCCGCTTCCCGCGCCGCGTCGACGTGCGCGGTGCCCGCGAGCCCCATGAACGCAACATCATCCCCGAATGATTTACACACCGTCATGGCAGCCTTCGCGAGCCCCTTGTCGCGCGCGCACATGCCGTAGACGGAGCCGTGCGGCTTCACGTGGTGCAACTTCAGGTCGTATCGCTTCAGGAAGCCGGAGAGCGCGCCAACTTGGTATGTGAAGCATGCTGCGAGCTCATCCTGGAAGAGGAAAGAACATGTAAGAGAACGCGGAGGGGGCGGAGGAGGAAGGGCGTACGGGCTCCATGGCCATCTCGCGCCGGCCGAAACCTTGCCTGTCAGGGAGAGAGGGGTGCGCGCCGACGAGGACGTTGTTCTCCTTGGCAAGCTGGACGGTCTTGTCCATGATTGAAAAGTCGCTGAGTTTTGGTGTGTATGAAGCGATTGTCTGCGCGGATATCAGGAATGTACGAACGAGGCGTGGAACCCGCATGCGATGTTCGCAAGGTGGATGGTCTTCATTAGGGACTCATCGTCGCCCTGTGTTGTTCATCTATGACAATCCGCCTCCGGAGAAGCGGTATAGGTGCTCTTACCATTGTATACAGGGAATACCCCTTTCACCGAGCAAAGCTTCAATACCGACGCCCCTTGGGTTACATCCAACTAAGGACGTACCTCCCCCATATCACAGTTCACCGTCGCTTTCAAGGGAGCCATATTCTTCGACGATTTGACGCGGGGCGGGTACAAGAAAGACGTTGGGGAGGTCAGAAGATAGAGGTTACAACCTCAGTGAGATTCGAATCCTTAGCCTATCCAGGCCTATCCATGCCGAACACAGCGGACAAATGATGTGTCCAATTCTGCGGTGGCGCAGAAATTGGACAGTCTGTCCCTTCAGCTGTCAAATTCCGTTGCTTCCGGCCCCGCGTCACACTGTAACTGTGATGTCATCTCCGGATCCCGGTGAAGTCCGAGTGTGATATGTCACACGGAGCGCGTGACAGCTGCGAAAATGGGACCTGTAGGCTGTCGGATGGCTACCTAAGGTCCAAAATTTGGATGATATGTATTGTTATAGCACTACAACGCGGCCTACGTCGAAATATTGAGCGTCCGAAGCAAACTCACGTCACCTAAGCCTATTTGCGCATCCGTTGAGATGGACCGATAAGGCTGTGGCTCTGCCTGATCCCGGCACCTATGCTGATCAATTCAAACTTTGGATGTGCTCTCAGTGCTCATACACTGTCGAGAAATGTACATCTATATGGCTTGGATGACTTCTTCACCAAGGTCCTCTTTCTGGCGGCCGTCAAGAGCGCAGAGAGCGATCGTTACATCGCAAGGAATATTCCTTGGAGTTCCCTCGCTTATAGCTCAAGATCGAACTCGAAAGTCTAATATAAGTTATTCGAGTTTCGCCCGCTGATCATTTCGCTACTCGATCCTTTCAAGTGGCACGCTTTGCACGTTAGATACATATGTCTGGTCAGCCCGTAGACGCAAACGCAAACACAGTGACAACGCCCGGTCAAGTCCCGCAGCTGACACCTGAATTTGCAGCTTATATCGAGGGCGCTCTCCATAGAGAGATCGAGAGAGTCCAGCAACGACATGAGCAGATCCGGGTCGAGATGCAGGCAGCGCAGTCCGCACGGGAGCAATCTCTGCGAGCGGAATTCGAGCAGCGGGAGCAGGTGTACAAGGCACAGATAGATTCACTCTATGCAGAGCTGCAGGCAGCACGGGGTAACGCGAGGTATGTCGTATCTCTATCTCTATTATCGCTGGCACTAAGTTACATGCAGGGAGGACGCCATGCAAGATGGGGAAGACGTTGTGATGCAGGGAGCCCCGGGACGCTTACCATTGCCGCAACAGGCGTCTGGAGCCTCGTCACGTTCTCCGATGAACGCCGCCACCGCCAGCACTGCTCCGAAACGCGTTGGAGGATCCAGTCTTCCGTATCCCCTCCCAAAGCGTAAGAAGATCCCTCTGAACCCGAAGCTGCGCCGGCGAAAGTCTTCAACCCCGACAAAGAAACCTACCGCGCAGGTGTATCGTGTCCTCAATTCTGAACTGCCTCCTGATCTCGGTGGACTGAAGGTAAGATTTTTTCATGATTCATGATTCTTGATGCAGTCGTTCACATGTGTATCCATACAGAAAGCATTGTATACACATATCCGGATCTTGTGGAGGCTAGAACGATACGCCGTCCCGCAAGTCCCACCTTCGGACGTCCTCACCGACTTCGCCGCGCGATTCTCCTCTGAGGGGAATCTCATCGCAGCTACCGCCGGACTACCATTAATCAATGTCAGCCTGGTTGATGTCTCGCGGTCATTCCGTTTCGGAGCACGGGGCACTGCACCACCGTATGTCCTGGAGGTCGAAGAGCACATCCTCCAGTACATGCAGGCATACATCGCTCGTTACGGGCTTACGTGCTGGTGTCCCGACCTCCGTGACACACCCTACTCATTGTATAACTCAGCTTGTCGTATCATCGCCCTTGCGACCTTCAAGCAGGCCCTTGTCTCAGGAACATATACTTTCTTGGGCCCGAATCTGAAATATACGTCGGATACACCGCTACTCCTGAAGCTGTACGATCACTTTGTCCATCACTATCAACAGAAGCGGTTTAAGAAGGAGGACAGATCACCGGGTAGTGTTTCACTCTCTGAGGAGCAGAGGAATGCATACAAGAATCGTTGCCGGGTAAGCTACGGCTTTCTACATGTCCTCATTTTGATGATTCTGATGCTCTTTCAGCTTGCAAAAGCCAGGAAGAAGTTCGCGAAAGAACAGGGTCTCCCCAAGCGTTACATCGACATTGTATCCGACATCAAGGCCACCTCAGACGACGAATGGGACCCGTCCGTTCGCGCGTACGTCATTAGACGGAGACCAGAGCGCTCTGAAGCTGCGAATAGGTTCTTCAGGAGGTTTGATGAAGTCTGGAAGGAAACAACTCTCCTAACGCGCCGATGGACTCAACGAGAGCGAGTTTGGCCTGTCAATCCGCGAGACTCCTCGTTCCGAAGCCTACCGACTACGATGCCGCTTGACTACTTTGACCCCGATTTCTATAACCGATTACTCCCTGGTGTCCGTAGGAAGATCACCAACGAAAGACTGGCATTTCCGGCAGATGCATCGCTCATCTTGCAGGTGCCTCTTTTCGCTGCTGAGGCGAAGGACGACCATCAGCTTTTCGAGGAGAATGCAGATGAGGTGCTCAAACGTTACAACATCCCAGACGAAGAGGTGGAATCTATCTCTGCTGAGTCAGGTGATGAAGCGGAGGATGACTCGGATGAAGATGGGGGAGTCGTTGGACAGGATGAGGATAAGGGAGTAATTGAACAGCGCAAGAGATTTGCTCAGATGGTAGATAGGCACATCTGAGAACATTGTAGGCTAGCTTTGCATGTATATAATTTATACATTTTTAAGTAATCATATGCATGCATGTCACCGTAATTACGTCCCAATCATCCGCCTCCTGTGTTGTGTCGGTCGTCTGTATCTCATGAACATCTCACCTTCCCACTGAGCCTTCTTGTATGAACATCCCTGAGCAATTGACTCGAGCTGGATCTCAACCGCCCGAGGCTGTCCGGGTGGTATGCCTCTGCAGGACATGCAGCACTGCAAGCTATGTCGATGCCGGTGGCAAAACACAATCAGGGCGTCTTGTGCATCCTAAGACTCGCCGGGCACATTTCGTAAAGGATCATGAAGCCCTCCGAGATGCAGTGACAAATCAGCTGGATGATAGCCAGGATCATAAAGGAGACCAGTCGAGCACGGATGACTGCAACCAACCTCAGCAGAAGGAACGTGGGCGGCGCACTCGCTCAAAGGTCCGAAGCAGGAAAGGGAAAAGACGTACAGACATGGTATGATATCCTTTGCTGTGATTGTGTGAGGCAACTCATATCTTGCAAGTTGGAAGCATCTGTCGATAACTCTGAGGCTGGCGGAGGGCCACTCTCTGAAACTGAGACTGTGAAGCCAGATATGCATAGAGGATGGGCTAGGGACACAGGTATGCTCATAATTAGTATTCGGTGCCCTACTAGCTGAATCCTTCATGTAGATTTCGAGCAACAGAGCTCACCTATCATCACACTCGCCCTCGTACTTGCAGCCTGGCTTCACATTTGCTGTGGCTTGAGCCGGCGAGCCTCGACTGTGGTACTGAAGGTCATCCACATCATTTTCTTCATGGCTTTCCAGCTTGCGCTCACCGTCTCGGTGGCACCTGAATCAGCATTGCCTAAACTCAACTTGAAGGACGACATACACTCTGCTCTGTCCACCTTGTCAATTGATCCTGTTCTAATCCGGTCCGTGTGCTGTCCAAAGTGCTTTGCACAGTATCCAGTGGATCATTGTCCTGAATTTTGCCGACGGCGGGAGACACGCCGAAGTAAGCCTTGTGGTGAAGCTCTATGGACTGTACGCCATGGGAGTAATGCTGGACCTCAACCCTGTCCTCGACGGCTGTACACTACTCAGTCGTTTGAAGCATGGCTTACATGGTTCTTATCGCGTCCTGGCATAGAAGATCTGATCGAGGAGTCGTACACAAGTCAGCCATCCCCTGATGGGATCATGTACAGTATACGAGACAGCCCAGCATGGCAAAGCTTTGGTTCCTTCACATCAACTCGGGGGAATCTCGTTTTCAGCTTCTTCATAGACTGGTTCAATCCCTTGACGAATAAGATTGCAGGCAAGAAGATATCCACTGGTGCAATCATGCTATTCTGTCTGAATCTTCCGGAACATCTGCAATGGGCTCCGGAGAATACATTCTTTGCTGGTATCACACCGCCGCCAAATGAGCCAAGTGTCACGACCATCACACATATCGTCGATCCCGTCATTGACCAGCTTGCTGATTTCTATACCGGAAAGCTGATACCCACCTACAAGCATCCACATGGCTCTTGGACTCGAGCTGGAGTAATGCCATTCATCGGTGACCTTGTGGCTATCCGCAAAGGTGCTGGCTTTGCATCTCACAGCGCCGAGCCATTCTGTTCCTTCTGTCCGCTGCGAAGGAGTGAAATCGAGTCTCTAGATCTTGCGAGCTGGGGAACGCGGACTGGTGCAGAGGTACGAATGGCTGCTGGTCTTTGGCGAGATGCACAGACAAAGGCCGAGAGGAAGCGGCTATTTTCTCAGTATGGAGTCCGATGGTCTGCCCTTCACAAGCTATTCTACCGGAACCCCGTCCAACATACTGTCCTCGGTGTAATGCATAATTGGATGGAGGGTATTCTCCAGCATCATGCTCGTAGGAAATGGGGAATAGGTATTGAATCTGGGCCCGGTGGCGATGACAAGGATGACCTGGGCATAGCAGCATCAGCCCCAGGCGATGACAATTTTATGGATATCGACACAGAGGACTTATCAGCTGAAGTGGATGCCTTACTCGAAGATAGCATCACCCACTATGACTTACCACTCTCTGAGAAGAGGACAACCAGCCCTGTCCAATTCCGCATTGACAGTAGTGGAGAAGAGAGTGGTGATGATGACTTCATACAGCCCGACGATGAATCCGATAGCGATGATGACTCTTCGACAGGTCCATCTGAACCCGGGAATCATCTTACCTGTGAATTTAATCCGACTAACCTCTCAAAGATCCGGGCTTGCATTGGTGATGTTGTTCTCCCTACTTGGGTAGAGAGGCCTCCAAGAAACCTCGGCGACAAATCACATGGGAAACTGAAAGCTGATAATTGGTTCATTCTGTTCTCGGTGATCCTCCCTATGGTCCTGGTGGAGATGTGGTCCTCAAGGCGGCAGACTGCTCGACACAAAACACTGCTTGACAACTTCTATGATCTAGTGACTTGTACAAACATCGTCGGGTCGTTCTCGACTTCTAATGTCGCCGCAGATAGGTACACGGAACACTACATTCGCTATCGGTCATCACTTCAAAAGTTATACCCACATTCAGGTTCCGTTCCGAACCATCATTATGCTATGCATAATGGTGAAATGCTGAAGTTCTGGGGACCACTAATGTCCCTCAGTGAATTCCCATATGAACGCCACAACGGCAGACTCCAGAAAATCAAGACAAATGGACATATGGGTGAGTATCCCGTATATCAGCTTGACTCCAAGTCTGACAAACTTTACTGACTGCAAAACAGGTGATCTTGACTATACTATGCTCAGGCAAATATGCCGCCATGGGCGGTTAACTGCTAAGATCCAAGATGCGATCCAAGTTAACGATCCACTGTCGAAAGCGTACAGCTTGCTATCGCCAGTTGCGCCGATCCAGACAGCTTCGGATGGGACATATCTCAAGTTTCTCAAGGAGCATACTACAGGCGAGATGCTTTCATCCATGGCTTATGACTGCATCCTATCATATCTCCATGCAGTTGGAGTGACCGTGCGGCACTACGCAGACTTGCCACATCCAAAGAACGCCGTAATTCTACCTCGGACAGCTGTTCGAAAGCAGCATTTCATGCACAAGGAGAGGGACTTCTCTGACCATAGCCTGCACGAGGGAAATAGCTCCATTATTTTCCGGTTACCTGACGGGAGCTACTCCTCAGGATTTATCAAGACAATCTGGTCAATGCTGGTCACGGACACCAAACAAGTTTTTATTTTTGTTCGCGCACACCAGGAGCTCTCAGAGAATGACCAAAGATGCAACCCATTCAGCAGTCGACCAGGATTCCTTACTAAACTTTACTACAATCGGTCTGCAGCTCAAGAGATCGCTATACGTCCGGATGATATTGTTTCGCATGGTGCTTTGCGTAGGAGGCCAGCACATACCTTTGGCATTGCGGAAGCTACACTTCTCGTGCATGACTTAAGTCGAGGCCGGAAATAATATAGATTAAGTCTCTAGTACAGTACAGCCTATTCTTTATAGTAGAACAGTGCTTTGTTCGACGGTCAGCTTGACCACAAAACTACAAATACAACAATTACACAACTTGAAGTACTGCCGACCCCTAGCATCGGCGATTGCCTCGACGTCGTTGGCGTCCTGGGGCTCCTCCACTACTGGTCATTCCATGTCCTGGATAATGGCATCACGATCCCGTGTCCTCCCGGTCAACTTCCATCTCTCCCTTCTTTGCAGCATCCTGATGAGAGGTGTCCGGAGGAGGTGCGTCCTCAGGATCCCCAGGCTCGACTACGATCTTCACCGGTGGCTCCGGGATGTTCTCGTCCTCATTGACGTCCATGGCAGCGGGAGCTGGCACTGGTGCTTCATCGAGTGCTTGACTTCGACATTGTCGTCGATCGCATGGATGTGGATACCCCATTCTCGACCTCCCTCGGCTGCCCGCCCTCCTTTGCATCCTGCTCCCATCCGCATCCACACCGCCTACAAGCCCATCCTCCACTCCTCGAAACACCTCACCTCCCCCTGCACGCACCTCACAACCTCCTTCAGTGCTCGCGCACCCTCCCGTCGCCCCACTCTGTACCTCGTCCAGCTGGCTCAGCAGCTGACTCAGGTTATGGTCGTACGTGGGCAGCGGCGTGTACGGTGGGTTGGGCGGTGGCGTGGACTCACACTCTGCGGGCGGGAGCGGGCGCAGGCCCGCGGTGTCCACACTGGCGACATTGTCCTCCGGAGGAAAGGGCGCAACGTTGATGGTGGCGGGAAGGAGAAGGCATTTCGGAGCTCCTCGAAGCGGTGCTCGATGGCGTTGATCTGTTTGAGGCCGACGGCACTAGGCTGGTCCCAGGGTAAGGGGGATCACGAAATCGGCAGACGAAGTCTCGATCCTGCAGGTGGCATCGACAACGACACACCCTAAACTTGCATCACAGTTAGTTCAGTGACAAAGGGACACAACGAGGTACTTATGAGACTAGTTGTGACGACACTCCAGGTATACACCAAGAAGAGGCCGTTTCGCGGCCGTCGGGGGGTGCTAGAGTAGATCCAGGGGTGTTCAACCCACGGACGTCGACCAAGGGATTGACCATAGATTGAGACCCAGCAGGTGGCAGACCAAGCTACGCCGTACAATATGCAGCATCAGCGCGCATCGACAGTCCAAGACGGCACTCACAGCCTCATAAGCCGACAGTCCAATGCTGTATCGCAACCGGTCTTGCTGACGATGTCCCTACTCCCCGACGCCCGACACGAAATCAGCGTCAACAGTCACGGGCAATGAACGTTTGGTGGGAGCGCACAGCGTCGCTGTTGTCTGGCGACCCGGCGATGAGCAGACGGCGGTCCGTCCCAAGATAAGATCTTCATGATCAGGAGTCGACACGAAAACCCCACTCGTCGGTGTCTAACGTGCGCCACCGTCAGGATGACGCAAGTGTGACAGCGTGACAGTCGGGCTGGAATAGGCTGGAATTCGACAGTTGAAGAGACAGACTGTCCAATTTCTGCGCCACCGCGGAATTGGACACTGCATTTGTCCGCCGTGGAAGCTTATCACCAGGTCCTCGGTTGGCGTATATGTTTTGTCCCTGGTCGCGATCATAAGACTATCCTGACGGCAAGTACGTTCCGTCGCTTTCCCGATATCAGCAGATATATATGGCCGCCATAGATCCTGTGCGCTTGGAGGAATTTGGGAACTTTGAGGAGGACGGATAGACCAGCACGTGATAGAGACGCGCAGCTAAATGGATCTCCATAACGCGCCGGCCGCCACGCCCCATAAATTGCGTTCCGCCCGTTGCAATCTTCCACTCACCATGACACGTCGTAAAGGATCTGTTCTCACTGACGTGGAGAATACACGTTACAAAGTACCGAAGAAGATGAGCAGCAAAGAGATTCAGGAGAGAGTAGCCGAACGCACCGCGCAGAGAGCAGCGCGCGTCAAGACCATCGTGGAAGAGGCTGAAGCACTCAACAAACAGGCAAGGTTGATTGGTTTAGTCCTAAACCGTACTGACCCCTGGGAGACCGGGGAACGAGCACTTCAGAAAAGAAGAGTACCTTGAAGCAACTATATTTTACCGACGGGCAAATGCCTTACGCCCACATGAGGTTTCATATCCGTGTAACGCTGCATTGGCCAGTCTGCGTTTGTCTACGTCGCTCACTGCCTTAATGATGCGGTAGGTATACGCTTGCGGAGTCCGCTGCAGACGACGCTCTATGCAAGGATCCCTTGTACCATAAGGCCCGGTACAGACGAGGTTTGGCGAGAAAGGCTTTGGGTTTGTATAGGGGTGCCATCTTAGGTGTGTGCTAAGATGCATACTCTTTCCAGCGTCTACATCCGGCTAACCGCCCTGTCAGACTTCCAAACAGTCCTTACACAAGACCCCGGGTGCACCGCGGCACAGACAGAGCTCGATCTTTGTAAGAGCCTCTTTGAATCCGACGAGGACGATGTGGTCGATTCAAGTATCACGCCCGAGGACGATGCCTGGCCGCCCTTGCTGGAGACGTTGGACAAAGAGTGGGACTGCGGTTCCAATTCCAGCGAGTACAACCACTCGGGAAACGACATACCGTGCAGGTACTATAACCGCGGGGCGTGCACGCGGGGGCAGCACTGTGCGCACTCACATGCGCCGGACTATAAGAGCGTGCGGGACCTGATGTACGTTCCATCTCTCTGAACTCCGTTTGTCTCACGAAATGGTGACCCGAGCATTCCGACTCCATTAGGGGGAGGAACGTCTGTCTGTCCCAGCTCATGGTCAAATGCAGGTTCGGCCCCGACGCGTGCGAGTACTGCCACGTCCTCAGCGCGCTCCCCGATGACTGGAAGTTACTACAGAAAGACAAGCGCAAGTTCTCCTCGTTCCAAGAGGCGTACGATCTGTGCTCCCGATTTCAGCAAAGGACCCGAGGGTCCTTCCGAAATTCGTGAAGTGTATGGTAGGGAGAGACCCTGCGGTACAGGAGTCGGCTGCTGGGCACAGGAGGAGGCGCAAGATTGACTTCACCGACCAAGAGAAGGCGCTCTTTCTGCTTCTGGATATTTAACACGCACCGGATGCAGTGCACAGTGCGGCTTTGCGCTCAATCTTACTTTCCATGCACGATCTATGGTGACACTAAACATAATGTATATCACGCATTAGAGCGATAGTCTTCTCGATGCGTTTTGGTCACTCTCATTAGATTAGCCCACTATCGATGATAATATCTCCAATTTCTCTCATACAATACAATGTCCACGGCAGGATGCAATAAATACTTGCGAATATAGATAAAGCTCTGAACGATCGTGAAGCATGGTGAGACCTAAAGGTCTCTGAATAAGGGTGGAGGCAATCTAATCCTCGAACTAGAAGGGTGACGGTAAGCATCCATCGAGAATGGGTACACACGGTACGTACACAGTCCCCACAGCCGTCTCCGTTCGAGAGGCAGACTCTGCCACTATCGACGACCTGTAGGACGCCGTTCACGGTATTCTTGTCCTTGTCACCGCAGCCAAGGACGTGAGCGACGGCCTCCTGGATATCCGCCCAGAGACCGCCGTTCCAGTCCGTGTACACGCAGCCTGCGCGTACACGATCAGAATGTCACGGTGATGAGCAAAGGTCAGGAAGGCACTCACAATTCCCGTGACAGGCGGGACGCCAGGCGGTCTGGACGGAGCCGCCCCAGTAGTGGCACGTCGGGCTCCAGTCGGGGAAGTCGGGCCAGTTGTCGTGCAGCCACTGGCAGTCGGAGAGCGTCGCGTCGGCGGTGGTGCCGCAGGTTGGCTGGTCGTCGATGTTGCCTTGGCGCTTCATGAGCCCCGGGAGGGTGGCGGCGGAGGCGAGGGTGGAGGCGGCAGCGACAACGCTGAGGGTGGCGAAGAACTTCATAATGAAGTGCGATGAGGTAGGCGGAATGCAGAGAAGAAGGTGATGGAAGGAGGTAGACTACTGGAGGTCTGGAGGGACGACGAGAACGGAGATGGACTTATATACACCGCTTGAAGGCACTGCACCCGTACTCGAGGTTCATACCGACTGAAGTCGAAGTGCCAAAGTCTTCGATGATATCACGACCCCCGAAACAACTGAGACGGCGGGTAAGATGAAAGACACAGATCATGGAGTTCAGAGCAGTGCCTACGGTTAGCTGGAGCAAGTAGATGGTGCCGAAACGCAGCGCTAGGTGCATTTCGCCGCCTTTTCGGCAGACGCGAGGTTCGGGGTGGAGAGGCCGCTCCGGTGTTGATTACCTTCGTTGCAGTTGCGTCAAGCTTGATCTTGGCACCCAGCCTCTTCCGTCAGGCCGTGGGGCAGGGTAGTCAGGCCTAAGGATTTGGACATGCAAATGACTGCAGCATGATCAGCACAAGACCGTCCTTTACGCAGTTTGAGTCGGACGTTGCTACTGTCACCTTTCATTTTGTGGAGCCAATCAAATATCGGGGAGCCATCAAAAACAACCATCAAGAGGAGGTGGTAAGTGAGTAGACGGAAAGAAGAAGCTTGAGGAGAGACATAAGACTTGCGAAACGCAGCCAAATGTCCTCTCGTGACGGTACTTAGTATCGGAGGAATATTTCTATGTTGTACGATATTGAAGCGGGGGAAGATCCATGATGAAAGTGTAAACGTTGACATCAGTGGCTGTGTGCACCCGAGCACGTCGGTCGGCATTGCACTGCACATTGATCCGTCGCGAAGGCCGGGCACCCTCTTGTCGGCAATCTTCTAATTAAACCATGGCTATGAACTCCAATTGTTGATGAGGAACGTAGAGGATGTCATACTCATGTTATAGCTCCATCGCATAGTTGCCGGTAGACGTCTGCAACTATGCGCTGTCTCTTGGAGTTGATGGGCTTTCTACCACCTGTGAGGTGTAGATTGTGCAGTTCCACTGAGTCGAACTTGGCGTTTCAAAGTGTGGAGTACGGTCGGTCAGGCGTTCTACCGTTTGTCAAGATCAAGTTCACTTTTCCCCGAAGTCAAGGATATGGGTCGGTGAACAGCACCGTATATAAGGCATGGCAGAATCCATCCAGAAATTCATCAGAGACCGACCCGTCCTCTGTACCGATTCCACTACCTCTTCCATCATAACACATTCCATAATGCTGTCTTCTGCGCTCATCCTTCTATCAGGCGCCGCCCTTGCTACGGCGTCCCCCCTCTCCGGCTTGCTGACGCCGCGTGCAGACGTCCACTGCGGCACGACTCAGGACGCGGACCTTGCTGCATGCCAGTCCATCCTCGACAACTGGAACGGTGTGCTAGTCAAGGACAATGATTGCACGTACGGTGCAAATGGTGCCGCGTGGAACGTCGCTTCCGTCAAGGGCTGTGAGTCTGCCTCCCCATTCGTCCTTCAGTATCGCATGCGCTGACATGGTTGATCCTCAGGCTCGCTTTACATGACTGACCCAGAGAAGGAACCCAACGCGGTGAAGGAGGCCCTCCAGACTCTCCTGGGCTGCGCGGACAAGAGCAAAGGCAAGGTCAACGGCCTCACCACTCTCGCCGACGGCACCGGCGTCTGCATTGGCGGCAACGACGGTTGCGGAGAGTAAGCATCCCGTCCTCCCTTTATCCCGGACTCGGTCTGATATACCTTACCTTGCAGTTGCTTCGACGACGCCGACTTCAACCCTCCGGACCGCCGCTCCATTACACCTACCTTCTCCAACAGCACCATCGAGAAGCGGCAGTTTGCCGACATCGCGGGTAGCATCGCGGGCTTCCTGAGCTCCGTAATCGACCAGGGCGGCAGCGACAACACGAAGCGCGCTAATGGTGTACGCAACGTCGTCGACGGCATGGCGAAAAAATACGGGCCCATCAACGTCGTCGCGTGCCACACGGACCACGAGGCGAAGTTCGACGGCGTGCAGGGCACGGACTGGGTGCACCAGCACTTCGAGATCGACATCCAGATCGGTGGTACCGTTGGGTACGAGCTTTACCTCGGGAACACTGGTACTTTCAAGCGCAATGGCGACGGTGGTGATATCAACTGGGGCTGGTGAGTACCGCACTTGTAGATGTTCACCTGAGTGACTGATTGCGCGGTATGCAGGAACGCGGCGCTTGCCAAGCCCGCAGAGCAGGACGGCTCCTTCCTAACCTTCGCCAACCGTAAATAAATGAGACGAACGACCACTCCTCTCATTGACACGACAGTTGCATCTGCATCGCATCACGTTATCTTGCATAATAAACACGGACTTTAATTCCCTAAATTATACCAATGTAACTCTGCTAGTATTTATTAAATGTACCTTAATCGATGAATGTCAATGAAGGCTTTGAAACACGTTGCAGTTCACCGAGGACGAAGCGCAAGTCCGGTCCGGAGAGGGATAACTATCTTGATGGTTATGTATGCGAAGTTGACTGGGACACCTACATGAACCATTCAGGCCTTCGGCATCCCACATGACCACTGGGTTATCGAAGGTCGAGGAGATGATTTTAGAAGCTGGAGGACAACACACCTCTTCCCAGTACATTCATGCCTGAGACTTGTGCCCGCATGTTCGCTCAAGGGAACACTTTCTTTCCTCGTATTCGTGTTTCACCATGAATAGCTATTTCGGATCGGTTGCAAGTCCTATACAGTAGCATAATGTCGAATGTCAGGATGCGTAGCCGGACAAGACAATTCTGGGGCAGTGCTGTGAGATGAGTGTCAATGAATCCTTCTTGGTCTGTTCTGGTGATCAAGCCGGGTGATTTATGCCACAAATAGACAGGCATTCTTACTGGAAATCAATTTGAATCTATGCAACCCCGAGTTGTCCCAGAGTCCAGTCTTCAGATTAACAGGGCTCCATCCGGTTTTAAGACCACTCTGGTCCTGAACGAGGAATTCCTGCAACTTCAACGTTCAGTGCTGGTGCTGCCACCGAAATAGGTTACATCCGTCAGTACTGGCATCTACCCGATGGGTGCCTCGATGATAAGCAGGTGGGCGTACCTGAATCATTCTCCCGCGCCTTGATATCTCTAAAGATTGGTGACTCGGAACCGACCTAACAGCAATTAGGGGTGACTTTGGAGTGCAAGCACAGCTGTGATCACTGCGCGGCGCTCGTTACTTAGCGTAAGTATTTGCGTGCGCAGGATCATGGACATAGGCAACTGGCATCCAGTCTGATATAAGCAGGCGCTAAGAAAGGACCGCCAACGGAGCTTCACGAGATATTAGTGGAGGCATGCCAGCGCTGCAGCTGTCCGGCCCTTACTGAGGAGTAAAGCTTGAGCCCGATACTGGAGATAAGGCAGGATGCATGACCTTCTTACCGGCAGATGTACGGGTGTTCAGCGTGTCCGAGAGTGATATCGATTCTGCTTGAGAGCGGCGACATTCATTTGACTCACCCCTAACTCCCCTCAGCATCCACACGCTGCTACGAACACCCCGTATCATGAGGTATCATGATTGTGGACACAATAGCATCTGAACGTGTCCTGGTCGAGGCCGGACACGAGATGCATTGAGGGCTATTGCAGGAGTTTTGAAATGAATATTCAGGTCCAGCGATTGTGGTACGAAGCCACCCACATGAGTACCCTGAGAACCTTGTCTCGTTCGGATGGTGTCTTGTCCAACTGGCATTCTAGCAACTAGCTTGCCGTCTCCTTGTATACGATGCAGCTATTTGTTTATTTCCTTGCCGACATGCCTTCAACTGGAATTTCGGTGTCTGGCAACAGTCTGGCGTTCCTTACCTTTGTGGAACAACATCGGGAGGGGATCTGCGGTGATCGGAGGGTCCACATGGATAGCCAAACCCCAATATGTGCAAACTTCGAAGTTCGCGAGATAAATACGAAGAATCTATCTCCAAATAGAAAATCGCCTGTTCTCGTATTTATTGCAAGCTCTGAGCGAATTTCAAGCATCGATTGCACGTTTGCACATGCCCTCCCGGACGCACTGACCTTGCCGGTTCAAGTTGCGACTTTAAAACCCGGCGGTGGCATTGAGCACCCCTTTGTTTGAACCAGCCGCCTATATAGCTCTTGTCCCTCGCTCCTTTGTCTGGCATTTCCTCTCTCTTCTGTGCCACTGCTTTGGAACGCAGACAACACGCCAAACGATGGATACGGAGTTTTCAGACGGAGAGGAGAGCTCTCTTACTTCCCTCTCCGATTACGAGCCCTCGTCCGAGGATGAAGAGGATAACGTGTACGTGCCTACCTCTAGACGCGGCTCTGCAGCCAATGCCACCGGCGCCGGGAAGAAAGCGGGTAAAGGGCAGAAGGGGGACTACGTGATCACGAACGCGTTGAGGCCACCCAGGACGACGCAGTATACCGCGAAATCGTTGTACGGTACGTTCAGTCTATATTTGCATCTTCCTTCCATTACTGCGCGCCTGTGGGGGATAAGGGGTGTATGCGGTGTTCACTTCTATTGTTCTGCCGATGCACATAGAACAATCGACATACCTCCTGTCCCTGTTTTCCATGGCTTCCCAAACTCGGTTATGCTTCGACATCACTGTGTTCGGGATCAGAGAGCGCTGGCTTTGTAGCATCGTCCCCGCACATTGCGGTTGGAGACGAAGAGCATCCTCTGATAAGCGCTGACGACGCTATTGTGGGCGCTTATATGCCCCTCTCATGAGGCGGCTGTCTCGCCAGAATCACCAGTGATTGATTTTCGCCACATATAGATCAAATCGTTGACGGATCAATCGATCTCGACCCGGAGTATCAAAGAGGTACACCGCTGCTGCCCTTTGTATGCGCCATACTGAAGCTCGTCAGATGTTGTCTGGACTGAAACGAAGCAATCGGGCCTCATTGACTCCATATTGCGGCATTACTACATCCCACCCATCATCTTCGGTGCGTCTTCCAGTACTTCACGAATCACCGAAGGAGGTCTTTGATGCCCCCATTTGTGTCCAGCTGTCATTTCGCACGATGACGGAACAGAACAGCGTGTATGTATTGATGGCAAGCAACGCTTGACGTCGATTCAGAGGTGGGTGGCACATCATATATGCTGTTTATTATCGTAGCATTGTTTCATCAGTTTACTGACTTGCGCCTTACACCACTCATGGTGTCGTTTCCAGGTTCATGGACGGGTTGGTGAGTACTCGAATATCTCATAGAAACACATAACATATCGTTAACTCATACATTCCCATATCACAGATTCCTCGTAAGTGTGTATACGAATACCTTGCATTAGTAACTAAATGCCGGTTTTGCAATGTTCACCATTCAGATAAAGATTCGTACGTATTCTTTGTCGGTATCCCATCATTCGGTGGCTCACCACTTTCATCACCTCCTGCGCTTCTCTCACCCGTTTCACGCTATTCAACCCATTTCATCACCAATCTCCATCAGCTTCACGAACGAGCGGTTATACTACAAGCAGACGCCGGGGTGCAAGCAAAAGCGAAGACTCCTATCGAGAGCATACATCAACCGCTTTGGTAACGAACAGGTGCAAATATCCGCATATACTTAGCGTGAAGAGCGTGTGCCTGACGGAATGGACCAATCTCCTTGGGTGTAGATATCTTGCGTCGAGTATGACGGCCTTAATGAGGACCAGGAACGAGAAATATTCCAGGTGACTTGCTTCTCGAATCAATGCGACTATGTCCTCACTTCGTGGCGTGTCGCAGAGAGTGCAACTTGGTGTAGCGCTGACCCCTGCAGGTGCGCACCACTGACTTTGGGTTGACTAAATCAACGCCACTGACTAGGTGGCAGAACGCATGCAAGCGCTGAACGGCCCGTTCTCTTCTTACATTCGTAACTTACAGCGTGCTGTACTCGGTCCGGCCCCGCAAGGATTCGGGAGCACCCTCGACTGGAGGACGGAGAGAGGTGTGTGCCCATCAGTCGAATAGAGAGGATCTGACCCATCTCTTTTCTCGCTTTAGGGAGGGACTTCCAGTGCATGCTGACGACAGTATATTTCGTGGAGCAGTACCCGTCATTCTCGCGATTCCCGCATACAGACGTGTTGGTGAAGTATATGGAAAAGCCAGGCATAGGGAAGGAAATCGAAGGGAAGGTGAGTCGTGTCGACTTGCATGACTCTCGCTTGTCTCTCGTCCTCTTGCGGCGATGATAGCTCATCCTGCCGTCTAGGTGCGCGATATGTTTGACGTGTATATCAAGCTTGCCGCCACCAGCGAATGCAATATTATCTTCCGTCGCCCTGCGCGCTTGAGCCCGATCGAGTTCGTCATGGTCGGCGTGCTCATCCACGGATGGATAGAGGCGAAGATGCCTTCTCGCAATACGAAGAAGAATAAAGACGGAAGCTGGATGGACGCGCTTGATCTCAAGGCGCTCACAGCGGCCATCCGCAGCATGCGGAAGAACGTGCGCGAGGAGCATGAAGACGTGCGAGGGAACGCGAAGGTTGCGAGGACGATGCAGGCGTTCATTCGGAAGACGGCTGCGGAGCTGAAAGGCGCAAAAGGTGATGCTGCCGTGGGCCAATTGGCTCAGGTGAAGAAACGGAAAAGAATAGTGGAAAGCGACGACGACGGGGATGAACAGTCTTTGAAGACCACTGCCGCGAAGAAAGGCGCGAGCAGGGGTAAAGGGCAGGCGAAGAGTGACGGGACCGGCTGGGGGCAAGCATCCACCACTAAATCACCTCTGACACTGAAGATTCCGAAGAATAAGAACGCAAGCGGTGCAGTGACCTCCGGTGTATCAGCTACACCTGGTCCCTCAAAGAAGGTTAACAATACGGTATCGACTGCATCAACGTCTGCGAGCGTGACAGTTGTCAGAAGATCAAAGAAGGCTGGCGGGGAGCAAGGCAATGCTCTGACGAATGCATCGAATACAAAGGGTTCGCAAGACACCGATGCTGAGAGCACGCAATCAGGTTCTTCACGGGTCAAGCGGACATCTAGGTTTGGACCGAAGCCTGGAGGTGAACGATCCTCGAGCGCAATGGCTTCACCTGTTATTCCCTCTCAGACCGCAAGTCAGCCCGCGGCGCAACCACCTGGACCGAAATCGGAACTTCGGAGAGTTGCTTCAGCAAATGCTGCCAGTACGATGTCGCGAGCAAAAGAACCAGTGCGACAATCTAGTGTTGCATCATCTATCGATACACCCCTATCTTCGCGATCTACTACGATCGACCATTCAGCGGGCATTCACAGGATCAAGCCAGAGGCAGCATCCCCGCCAGTGCAATTCGCGTCTCCGATGATGCCACCCCCGCAGCCTCCCAACGAGGCATCGCCGTTGCCGGCGGCCTGCCCATCTCCAGCATTCAGCACACCAACGACGAGCAACTATTCACCGAATATCCCCGTCAAGCGTGAGCATGAACCTTCGGTGCCATTTAGCTCTTCCATACCGAGTGGCACAGGCCCTTTGGATCGGCTAGAGCCTATAAGACGAGCTAGGGCTGCTCCCAGACCGCTCACGCCTGCTGATGCCGGCCCCGAAACAGGGCAAGTCCAGGTGGCTCCTGCTGCGATGCAGGCTACGCGGGATCCGAGGAGACGATCACCGCAGAATATGCAAATTGATATGGCACAACTGCATTCGATTCAACAGCAGTTATTACAGCAGGGATCACCTGCGTGCCCGCCACCTCCGCCGATCCTGAATACGATTGGAAGTGCTATTGCACCGCTGTCGGAGGTCGAGAAGGTCGAGAAGATTCTTCTCCAGGCAGGGGTCAAGCTTGAGCCATCTCAGTTCGCGACTCTTATGCAAGGGCCTTGTATCAACTCCCCTGTGCCGCCGTGTGCTTCGCAGCCTCAGATACCCGTCTTCAGTGAGTATCAACACTGTCTGTAATCGAGAGATGTTCTAACGAGCGAAAAATTTGGATTCAGGAACCACTCCTGGCAGTCAAGCACCACTGACGGGTAACACTCCGATAACCACGCCATCGCTTAGCCCCGACGTCCCATGTCCCCCTAAGTCAGAGAATCCGGTGTCGAACGCTCAATCGGGTTACGGAGTCCGTGCATCATCGGAGACTGGTATACCTATTCCCATGTCTTGTCTCGACGGTGACGCACAGCAGGCGCATGCACGTCGGCCGTGTTCTCCACCGCGCGAGCCCAGGGCGCTGCGAGCCTCTGATCGTATGCCATCGCAGTTGTCTCGCTCGGGATCCTATTCTCGACACGCACAATCGGCGTCTTCTGTTGCTTCGCACGATGAGGATCGTGACCGGGAGCGCAGGAGGGCATCATGGGATGACAGGTATAGTCGGGGCCGCAAGAGTTCGGACAAGTATGACTATGACTATGAGTACAAGAGGGATCGGGAAAGAGATAGAGATAGGCCAAGAGATGATAGGCCACGAGATAAGTACGACTCCCGGTATAGGGGGAGGGAGAGGTCACGATCCAGGTCCCGGGAGCGGGAGCGAGATAGAGATCGCTACGACCGCAGGAAGGATCATGATCGTCGAGAGAGCGACAGGGGGTGGAGTAGAAGAAGATCGAGAAGTCCCAGCAGCAAAATCCCGACCTGAAGGTACAGTTCATGCCGATGGAGAACCATGTCAATGCGAGGCCCTCTGGCCTCTGCTGCTTTGGGGATGCGTCTTCGAGGACGCGCGTGTCTGTCTACCATCGCTTACGCTTACACAGCGTCCTTCACCTTATAATCACATACGCTTCCCTTAATGGTCTCTATGAGCACCATCATGTTACATACGCGCCTTTATGATTTATGGTATATACGTTATGTCAAACCACGGTCCTTCGCCTTGCTCCTGATCTTCACAGAATGTTGCCACGTCAGTGAGACGACAGGTACACGGGAAGGAAAGTATTCATACTTCCGAGATGGTAGAGACAAACCCACTGCGGGGTTTCATTGGATAGTACAACAATGAGTTATACATTCAGATTGCAGGTCTGGAGAAAGATGTGATTATATAGCAGACGACAAGGCTGTATAAATTATCGATTGAAGGTCCGAATCATGAGATCATGTATCGTAGCGGCGCAAGCGCCAATCCCCGACTCCAGTCAGAAACCATCAAGTATTCCAGGTACTAGTGTCTGGTCAAGTTGCGGAATGCCAGTCTTGACGCGTACGGACACATACACAGTATCGATATAGTCCTGTCTTATATCTACATCAATATTTAAAGGGGTTTCCTCCCAGTCCCCGCTCAGAGATACTAGTCTCATTTGTAAGCCTCACTTGTGTCAATGCATCCTTTCATCGAATGCTACGCACTGCATCACTTTGACCTTTCACATCAGGTGTGTGTGGGCAGTTGTCTTCAAGTCAAAACGAAAGTGGCGTCGGTCCAGTCGGGACGTTGCTTACATGAGGTTCTCACGGCGAGAGCGAGTTGTATGGTGGAGCGACCATTTCTCCATTTCTTCCCGACAGAACCCTCCTCCCAACTACCGTGGGAGTCGGGGACCGGGACAGAGCAGAGATAACAATGCAAGATGGCTGCCGATAGCTGGAGCACCCAGCCTCCTCTCTCACTTCCGGTTTGCGAAAGTCAGGAAAGAGCCGTCCTGCTCAGCAGGCTTTGCCAGCGCGGCATTCCTACGAAACGCGGACTGTCAATCGATCGCGATCGCAGCGAAAGGCTGCTGCGGGCACTCACCAGCCCCAGTTGATGTCGCCACCGTCACCATTACGCCTGAAGGTGACAGTGTTGCCGAGGTACAGTTCGTACCCGATGGTCCCACCGACCTCGATCTCGATCTCGAAGTGCTGGTGCACCCAGTCCGGTGCCCTGCACGCCGTCGAACTTCGCCTCGTGGTCCGTGTGGCACGCGACGACGTTGATGGGCCCGTATTTTTTCGCCATGCCGTCGACGACGTTACGCACGCCGTTCGCGCGCTTCGTGTTGTCGCTCCCGCCCTGGCCGAGGATCGCGTCGAGCAGCTCGGCGACGCTGCCAGCGATGTCGGCGAACTGACGCTTCTCGAGGGTGCTGTTTGAGAATATCGGCTCGACGGAGCGGCGCCTAGGAGGCTGGAAGTCTGCATCGTCGAAGCAACTGGCGGGGAGTTTTGGGTAAGCTGGGCGTCCTGACTGTAAGGGTGAGGGAGATACTCACTCGCCGCAGCCGTCGTTGCCGCCGATGCACACACCGGTGCCGTCGGCGAGGGTGGTGAGGCCGTTGACCTTGCCCTTGCTCGTGTCGGCGCAGCCCATGAGAATCTGGACCGTCTCCTTTATCGCGTCCGGCTCCTTCTTATCCGCGTCGGTCACGTACACCGAGCCTGTCGCGCGCCACCTCAATAAAATAGACTAGATTTGTGGAACGCGAACGAGGACCCACAGCCCGGGGCGGAGGCGACGAGCCGCTCGCGCTGTACGTTCAGTGTTGGCTCTCGTCGAGCTGCCCGCTCCAGTCGTCCAGGATCGACTGGCAGGCGGCGAGCTCCGCGCCCTGCGTCGTGCCGCAGAAGACGTACCCGCGCGCCCCGAGTAGGCGGGCGAGTGGGGACGCGGCGCCTGCGAGCAGGATGACTGCGGAAGATAGCATTGTAAAGTGCGTGAGTAGGGATTAAGGCGATGTCAGGTATGGGTGTGTGTGTGTGTGTGTGCCGCCTGGTTATGCTGCCTTCCTTGGTTGATTCAGCTGGTCTTTATACCTCGCGGTTCGCCCCCAGGCGCTGAGTCGGCGGACGATGTCTTCTTACCTTGCAGACGGCCAGGCAATCGGGCGACCACCCATCGTAGACTACTCCACATAATGAAACGCGAAGGCCTTCGGCGACTGAGCGAGTAGTGAAGGCCATTGACACCGCTGTCAGTGAGCCATCATGATCACGCTCAAGCCCAAGTGTGCAGGCCACCTCAACCGATGGAGCGCAAAGCAGACCATGGCGTGTCTTCATCACGGATTGTCTTGTTCACCGCCCTGGTGAGGAGTACTTAGCGCAGCGTCAAAGTCCTGGTTAGCGAGAGGTCCTCGACGGATCGAAGTGATTAGGTGGAGCGCCTTCAACAACAGAGTGGAGCACAGCCACATCTAACCGATGCCGGCGGCGTCTGCGATTCAAAGCCTTCTCCATTGGATTCGGAACTGTTCGCGCACCTCCTTGGATAATAGTGCCAGCCATCGCGACGAATTCCGCATCATTTCGTGTGTGTAACTCTTCCCGATTTCTTCGACGTGGCAATCCCAGCGACGGCCGACCTTCGCAACAGCACTGGCCGAAGCGACGGTGCGTGGTGCGAACAGACTGGCCCTGTGCTGACGTCGGAAAATGCCCGCGCCAGCCGCTGACGATCCCCGAGTTCAGCGCAAGGAAATGACAAGCCGCCCGCCCGTCATCATGCGCTCACCCCGGTGATCGGCTCTGGCGGGGCGGACGTGCAGTGCTCGAGCGCCCATCATGTCCTCCCCTGCTCCCTCGTCCCCACGGAGCCCTTTGCCACCCGCAGCACCTCCGGGCTGCGTTGGAACGGCGGGCGGGCTCTGCGCGCGAGAGGCGGGCGCGGCGGAAGTGAGCCCTGAAGACGAGGTGGGGGGTATCGGATCACCTGCATTATTCCCGCGTCGCCGTAGCCATGTTCGCTGTGCGCCCAGCGGTGGTTGACGTACCCGCCCCGGCGCTCGCCGCGCAATATAGTTCGTTCGTTCGTTCGTTCGTTCGTCTAGACGATTGTCAGGTATATCCCGGGGTATCTTGTGTGCAAATCGAGGCGCGCGCAACGCACATCGGGGCGGGAGTCGAGGGGAGCGGGCTGCATCCGCGCGTGGTCAGCATACATGGCAGTGGGCATCGCCTTGGAAGCGCCCGTCCGCGGTTGGACGGGCACGCACCCGAAGACGAGGCCGACAGGACGGAGCCCAGCGCCTGCCCCTCCCTCCCCCCAGGCAGATACAGGGCCCGCCGCGTATGGGTCGACCAGAGATCATGAGGCGCGTGCGCAGGGGAAGAGCCCAGCGCTGCGACGGTCGCCTGTAGCACATCAGAGGGAAAGACGGGGTACGACGCACGGGTCCGGCTCTCGTTGTATTTCTGCGTCCCCGCCCGTCCCCCGACCCGACCGCTCCACCCGTTTGCGGCGCAGGGAGGGGAGGGGGAGGGCAGGTACGCCGGGCCGGATGCGAGTGTAGGGGCATAACGTCGCCGGCAGGGTCGTCCCTATACCCACACCGTCGGATCCCCGGGAAGCGCGGTGGGGTGTCTTCCGGGCGAGTGCGAGGTGATGGGTTGTGGGTTGTGGGGCTGAGGACGGGCAGGGATCGCGATGAGGACGTCGATATCGATATCCTCCCCTGCGAGGTAGCCTGACCTGTGTCCTTCCATCATATCCGTGGGCTGTTCGAGAGGAGACACGCCCAGGGGGCGCTGCGCTGAACTGAGAAAGGCAACGTGCGGCGACGTGTAACCCGAGTCGCGTTGAAACGCCGGCATTCTGCATACATACTACTATATGATTTGGCCGGCGTGTATATGGTGAACACCTGTTTCGAATAAGGCAGAACAGATGCACATATATGCAAAGTCATGCGTTCAAACTTCACAGCACTTCCTAGCTATGACGCGAACCCGGAGTCGGGCGCGCGCACGGTACGCTGCTGCGACTGTGTACAACCCGGGGCAAGGAACGATTTGCTTGGGTTGTTCTCGAGGAGCAGCTGAGGTACGCTGACACATCCAGTTGTGAGTGCGGCCACCTGAGACGTTGTCGACAGCGGAATCCATATGAGGACTTCATGACGTCACCTTCACCGCGGTCACATGACCCCGCGCGTTTCGTCGATTGCCGCCCAGCGCGTCCGCGACGGGCTGCGACGCGACCACCGGACGCCCTCCCTCGCACCAGACATGGACGCGCCTACCCCCACACCCGCGCTCAAATTCAAACCCGTCCCGCGCCCGTTCCCCATGGCGCCTAGGACGCTCAACCCCGCCCCTTCACTCGCCATCGACCTCAAACGCGCCGCGGACAAAGAAAGAGAAAAGGCGCGGCCCACGCCCGCGACGCTTTTCGACCGCCCTGGGAAGCAGGCGCTCGCCTCGCCCTCACCCGCGGCGCCGTACAGGAACTGCTCGAACTGCCACCAGCTGCGCGTCCCGCCGTCGGACGTGCACAAGACGTGCTTCAAGTGCCGCGAGAAGGACCGCCGGAAAAGGATGCGCAGGGCTGCTGCTGCGAGTGCGAGTGCCCAGGAGACGCCGATCACTGCTGACCTGCACCGGAAGAGGGTCTACGACACGCAGCCGTCCCAGGAGGAGGAGAAGCCGCTGCTCGCGGCCTCCCAGCGGGATGCCCTCACTCTAAAACGCCCGCGCGAGCCAGAGACCGCCGCCGCTCACCCCGCCCCGCGCACGCCCTCCGTCGCCGCCGCGCCCGCCCCGACGCCCTACCAAACGTCCACGCTGCTCATGCGCGCGCTCTCCGCCGCGGCTTCCGCGCGCGGGAGCGTGCTGTTCGCGGGCACGTTCTCCATCGTGAGGAGCCCCGCGACGGACCACGCGCGGCGCGTCGCGAAGGTGGTCAAGGAGCTCCGGCGGAGCTGCGCGCCCGCGCGCGGGGCGTTCGCGTGCGTACCAGCCTCCTCTTTTTGTGGCGCTTGGGTGCTCTCTTTCCTTTCTTGCGTGTGCTTGGGGTATTCGTGGTGCTGACGACGGTGGTGCGCAGGTCGACGGGCACAGTTATCACGTCCTCCCCGTGGATACGCAGGGAAGAGTTCCCCTGCCTGTGCTACTCCTCCTCCTGCTCCCCCACCCCCTCCAGCGCAACCCAACCGCCGACGAAGAAACCCAAAACGCTCATGGGGTACTTCTCCTCTTCCCCCGGTTCCTCGCAGGTACCTCACACCCCACGCCCCACCCGAACCTCCCCACGCACTGACGCGGATATGCTACAGGTGAAGAGCGAAGACGGCGTGGAAATGGGGACGGAAAAGAGGAAGGGAAAATGCAACGGCTTCCTGCGCATCACCGCGAGCGACGACGCGGCCCACCCGCTGTTCGCGGGGCAGCGCGTCGTCGTGCACGTCGAGCATCCCTAGCGCGGGTATCTTATTTTTTTCTTATTTCCTTTTGTGTCGGGGCTCTCGATTTGGATATGACGCGTGCTGGATATAAGAAGTTGTAGATGATGCTAGGCTACATTTTGTATACTCCGGACAGACACGGACGGCGAGCTGGATTTCCCGCGTAGGCGGGCTACCGGTATATTATATATATCACAGTAGACGGTGGCGTCACCTGATGTATTTTGTGAAAAGGCGAGCTGGCGCAGGGGGGTCATGTCGATGGGTCGACCGCATGCCTTCGATTATGCAAGTGCCGCGGGGGCGGCGGGCGTTCTTGCGGGGAATGGTGCTTGCAGAGGGGCCGGCCTGACCGGGACAGGCGATGGAGCGTCTCGCGTACGGTATCCGATGTGCGTGTCCGGTCTCCGGCACTGAACTCGGGGGTTCTGCACGTGCTGGCCCTGGTGCAGGGAGGAAGATGTGCCGCGCGTTCCGGGGAAATGCGCCCAGGAGGTCGGGAATGGGGATGGTGCGCACCGCACCCGAGCTATGGTCTGCTGAGCGTGACGAGTGGCTATGGTCGTCGGATCAAAGAGCCAGATACGCTGCGAGTGGACGACGAGGGAGGAGGGCGCTCCGAGCCAGGTAAGTGGTCCCGTAAGACAGGTGTGCAGCACGCTGCAATCGGTAGGACAAGCGGAACGTGCTTACAAGAAGAGAACTCGGTCTTATCCCATCGCGGTCGAGTCAGCGGTGCCATTCCAGCAGCGAACACCTTTCTGCGCAACTATGCGAGCGGGCGGTCGCCGAGCGCGAACGACCCTCCGCTTCTCTGGTGCGGACTCGTAAGTATACGCGGCGACCAAGTTCGCGGGCAGAGTCGCACGCCCACGATCCCCGCCATCTGGAGGGCAATGTCCCACCGAATCGCACGCCCGAGCGCGTGTCCGGGGTATACATGGGGAATGATTGGTCGTGCATTCGGCGGTGTCCGGTGGACCCAAACAGCTGGAGGGAACGCTGGATTGCATGTCATTTAGACGCCCCGAGAGAATGGACCGTGGATATAATGTCCGTGTCTGTGCGGGGATACCTGGTAACGCGCTGACTAGCGCCGACGTATTGATCCCGGCAAATCTGATACTCGCATCGCCCGCCTCGGTCGGGGTATCGATCTTGGACTGTAAGCCCATGGAGGTCAGCCAGTCGAGACAACGGAGGAGAGTACAGGTACACACGGCCGATGGTGACGTATTTTCAGTGCACTCCCGTGCGAGGAAATACAAATCCGCTGATGAATTTCGAATACCAGGCGAACTAGCCGTGTTTGCGACTGTGCGAGGGCAGATGGCACCTCAGCGTGTGCCGAGACATAGGACGTACTGCCGTACCCTATCTGTATGGTTCCCTCATCTTGATTCTTCGGCCAATCCAGTTGCCTGTCTATTATAGTTAAGCTTGGCCACAAACCCATCCGTCCAATAGCAGGCGCGCTCCAAAGCTTCACGGAGGCAGGAAGTGGCATCTATATATCTACGAATGGGAGCACAGCAGGCGCCCGATGAGAACGCAATCTGGCTTGCTCGACGCTTCGACTTCGATGGACACGACCCATGGATCGGCATCAAACGCACATAAAGCGGTGAACTGGGTAATCTGTGGCTGTTCCTTTCATCCTCCGCTATTCATGCTGAACAAATTCGAGTCGTGATCAACTCTGCGGCGCGCCTCCATCAGCCGGACGGAGCTCACCTGCACTATCCTGCAGTCCCGAGCAGAGGCCCGCGACGACGGCGAGCGCCTGCTGTCTGTACTGTTCTCGCGGACTGGCAGAGACGTGCCCGCGTGATAGGCCAGCATGAACGTTTTGGAGGAGCCGTGGGGAGTGATATAGCTATTAGAGGCATCACCGCAATTAACTCCTCCCGCCTGTCCGGTACCGAGTGCCCATACCGAATAAACGACTTTGCATACCAATTACCATACGCTGCAAGCGCGCCGATGATACGAGCCCGACGACGGACTGACCCACTGCCTGTGATGACGCCCAATCGCCAGCGGAATGGCAATGGTGAATATCCGGATGGGACAAGTACCCTTACAGCGTCACAAAATAACTGTAAATCCTCGGACGAGCCCCCGTATGGCAGGCGGAACCCTAACCAGAGTGTGCGGACCGTATGCTAGGCACTAAAATTAGGATAATCCAATTATCACCCATGGGCAAGCATAAAACAGATCGCATTCCCGCCCGCGATGAAGGCCAACAGTCCCCCTCGCAGCTGCAGCCATGAGCGTTCCCCAGCCACAAGTGAGTATCCCGTTCAGCGCGCCTCCCCCGCTCACCCGCCACCAGCACTACGTCCCGGCCGACGCCGCCGCCAGTGCCGAGGGAGTTTCCCACAACCTCAACCTATACGGTGGGCGCAAGGCGCCGCTGTCCCTTAACATCCTCCTCGTCGGGTGCGGGCTCGGCGGGCTCGCAGCCGCGCACTGTCTCAGCCAGGCGGGGCACAGGGTCACCGTATTCGAGAGCGCGCCGGCGATCGGCGAGGTCGGCGCCGGCATCCAGGTCACGCCCAACGTCAGCCGCCTGCTCATCCGCTGGGGCCTCGGCGAGCAGCTGAGCAAGATCGCGGTGAAGCCGGAGGCCATCGTGTTCAGGCGGTATAGCACGGGCGAGAGGGTCGGCTATGCGCGGTGGGGAGACAAGATCGAGAAGGAGTACGGCGCGCCGTACGTGCATATCCACAGAGCTGACTTCCACAAGCTCCTCTTCGACCTCGCGAAGGATCAAGTTGAGCTAAAGTTGAACTCGACTGTCACGCATATCGAGCCTGGCCCTGACTCCGTTTCGATAACATTGCATACTGGGGAGAAGTTTACCGGCGACCTCCTAGTCGGCGCAGATGGCGTGAAGAGTCTCATCCGCACGGTGGTTCTCGGCAAGACGACGAATGCGGAGCCCACGGGGGACGCTGCGTATCGAGCAGTTATCCCCACCGAACTTATGGAGAAGGATCCGGACTTGAAGCCGTTTGTGGACACGCCGGAGATGACGGGCTGGATGGCGCCCGGGAGACATCTCATGGCATACAATATTGTGAGTGCTCTATTTATTGTGAGCCGTTTCCGCAGCGCCAGCGGTCACTATCCCGCAATACTATGTAGTGAGATCGCGTTCGAATGCACGGCCGAGGCCTGTGTAGTATGCAGCGCTTTGGGCGTCAGAAACCGTACCCGTCCGGCGCGCGTGTGCATCCGAACGCACTTTATGGTGCTACGGGGGGTTGATACACTGGCGTTGCGGCGACATCAATATTCTGTAATAAACCCTGCTAATCCTTCCCCACGCAGCGAGCAAAGAAGCTCTTTAATCTTGTGCTCTTGCATCCAGATGATGGATCAGTGGAGTCTTGGACAGCAGAGGGGAGCGCAGACAAGATGCGGGCCGACTTCGCCGACTTTGAGCCTCGGTGAGTACGTGATGATTCTCATCGCCGACCAATGTCTCATGCCCCACGTCCAGAGTACGGAAACTACTCAACTTTGTCTCTTCCACTCTGAAATGGCGTCTGATGGACCGGCGACCGCTCGACAACTGGGTGCACGAGTCCGGACGCATCGTCCTGCTAGGTGACGCATGCCATCCCATGCTTGTATGTACCCTTTCCCGCCTCTGCTACTCACGTTTGCTGATAACGTCGGTCATAGCCTTACCGTGCCCAAGGCGCCGCGATGGCGATCGAGGACGCCGCCGTCCTCGGCAACCTCTTCTCGCGCGTCTCGCACCAATCCCAGATCAAGCCGCTCCTGCACGCGTACATGTCCCTGCGTCTGCCGCGCACGGCGGACACGCAGAACCAGTCGCGGCTGAACCAGCACATCTTCCACCTGCCCGACGGGCCCGAGCAGGAGAAGCGCGACGAGGCGATGAAGCAGGCGATGCGCGCCGAGCTCAAGGCCGTGCTGTCGTCGAACGACCCCGAGGAGATAAAGACCGCGGACGTGTGGGGCCGCGAGCCGGAGGAGGTGCGCAGGCAGATCGAGCGGGAGTTGCAGGATTTCAAGGACGACGATGCGAACCACGAGGGGAACCCGAACCAGTGGGCGGACCGCAAGAAGAGCGAGGTGCAGTTCGGGTACGACGCGGACCGCGAGGCGGAGCGGTGGTGGGAGGAGGTCGGGCGCGGCCTGTTCGAGCAGGAGGAGAAGGCGATGAGTAAGTTGTGATCTGCTGCTGCGTGGGTGTGCTGAGCGGCGGTTAGGTTGATCTGGGCATGGGGGGTGGTGCGTGGAATGTATTTTTACTTGTAGCATTTTGATTATTGGACGCGTTGAGATTGCGTTCGTTGTTGTAGGTGTACAAACTATTTGACGGATAGAGTCTACTCACACCCACGCCTTCTGATCGTCATCCCGCTGCGATCGGACCTATACCGTATGGACGCCGTATCTTGCGAGATTCAGTTCCTGCCTCCATGACACTGGGTGAGCACGGCACCGTCCACAAGAACGCAAGTGCTCTGAACGAGAATAACTTTGGCTGTTCTTGTTGATACTGCGCCTCCTCAATCAGCCTCAGACAAGCAACCAACAATCATCTGTCTGATATCGAGGTATGTAGAATGCCGGTACCCGGAGGGGTTTATAAGGCCTGGGATACGTACGCAGGTGCGGGTCACGGTTGCTTATATCTGCGCAGTCCGTAGTTAACAGCGTTCTAGGTGAGTTTGCAAGCTCCTGTCGATGCGATTGAACGTCAATGGATGGTTTTATCGTATCCACCGCTTTCCAAGACGATTTGACAGGTGTAAGCTGCGGAACACGGAGCCTCACCATGCCCCCACCGCTCACCACCGGGAACACCGACGCACCCCTCCTTACGCTCCCCGCGCCCCTCTTCGAAGCCATCCTCCTCGCCCTCGCCTCTGCCCGACCACCTCCCCAATCCCAATCCCCTTCCGACTCCTCCGAGCCCGCCGAAGACACCCTCCTGCTCGCGCGCACGTTCGCCCCGCTCTCGCTTACCTGCCGCCACCTCTGCCGCGCCCTCGCCCGCGCGGACGTGTGGCGCGTGATATGCCTACGCGCGTGGGATCCCCCTGCGACGCCTAGCGCACCTGCGGACGTCGACTGGGCGGGCGAGTTCCGCGCGCGTGCTCGCGCCGCGGCGTACTTCCTCTCCCCCGCCCCCCATGCATGCGCCGACCCCGGCGTCCTGCAAGCGCTGCTCGCGATGCTGCATGAGGGGAAGAGGGAGGGGGAGAGCAAGAACGTGAAGTGGGTGCGCGGCATGCTGGCGCGGGGATGGCCGGCGGAGGTCGCCTGGCGGCTCGTGGGCTGGGGAAGGACGGGGAGCGCCGGCGCAGAAGAGGCGAACGGCGATGCACGGAGTGAAGGAAGGCGGGGAAAGAAGTGGGCGGAGGTGTCCGACCCGTGCGTCGAAGCTTTCGTGCGTTTTGGTGTGTGCTGATGCGCAGCAGGGCGTTCGACACGAGCGTAGCGGGGGGCGTGTTCTGGCGCGTGGTCGCGTACACGGGGGCGGGGCTCCTGGCCGCCCGCGCGCCTCCAGCGGTGCGCCGCGTGGACCTCCTGGCCGAGCCAGACTCGGACGGGGAGGAGGACATGGATTTGGCCGGCGACGCGGACGGCGAGAGGAAGCGCGCGCGCCGCGTCGCACGCGTGCGCGTGTACGACTTTGGGTACCGGCGGTGGGGCCCGTTCTTGCTTGTGGATGAGGGAGAGCAGGGCGGGGACGCGGACGCGGACCAGGCCCCGCCTGCGCGGATGCTCCGCCCGCACTGGGCGTGCCTCGCCGCCGTGCGGGTGGTCATCGAGGCGAACTTGACCGATTATGGCATGCAGGCGGAGCTGGGGAGGTTTCGGGACCTCGCGGGCCTTAGTGGATGCGGTGCGGGAGCAGGTAGGGACGACTCGGATGTGAGGGAGGAGGGGTGGGACTGGGCGGGTGTGGAGGGAGCGTGGAGGCGGTGCATGTGCTGGATGGATTATCGGAAGGTCGCGCGTGAGCCGGGCGTGCATGCACTCCGATGAGCCCACGGCTGACTTTGCTTGCCCGCAAATCTTCGAGCAGAGAATAACGTGCGTCGTTTATGGGTGTGGTGTGTGGTGGGCGTGACATGACGAGTGTTGTAGGTGCGTTCCCCTGCGAGGCGGTACCGCTATCACTCGCATCCGATGGAGGCGGCGCGCGTCGCCCCGCTGCAGCTGCGGGTCGCGCATTACACCGCGAATCCGGAATTCCCTGGCTGGCCGGATATATACGTCGAAGGGGAGGTGCGCGCGTATCTCAGGCTGCCTTACGCCATTCGTGTGCTGATGATTGCGTCTAGGACGAGATGATGGGGGGAGTGTGCGGTGTGGTGGGTATGATCGGGAGGAACTGGGCGGAGGCGGAGGTGCGCTGGAGCCTGGTGCGTACTAGTCTGGTTTCCTCCTCTTAACCTGCCGAGTTGAGTGGGCTGACCCTGCGTATCCGCAGCGCGGGCAGGACGGGGTGGCAGTGGAGGGCGTCCAGACGGGCGGGATCGGCTCGGCAATGGGCGTCTTGGGGTTGTGGACCAAGGGGGATCGTGTGCAGAGTGGTCCGATAGGTCCAAGTTGGATGTGGAAGGTGATGCAGTGAGGGTGGATAGGGAGGGGGAGGTGTGGTATGGTATGGTTTATTTTGGATCTGAGCATGGGGTTTTTTATGTTTCTCTGGTATTAGTTATGGCAGGCGCATTTCTACGAGAGGCGAACAGGGCACTACCCTGCTTGGGATATCAGACTCGACCAGGGATGTGCATGCAACCTGTAGTATTCCGACATGTTAGTTTGGACTACAAACAACTCAGATATCCCCTGGATACCCCTACTAGGGGTAACTGATCTTCATGAATATTACCCCTAAGTAGGGGGGTGTGGGACATGGGACATGGGACTGTCCCATGGTGTGGCCAGTCAGGAATCCTATCCTGGTAGACCTTCCATGTGGGCTGTCCCACTGTCCCACATATATTTTGCCCCTATTGTACCCTCATTGTTGATATGGATTGTTTTCTCCTAGGATAGAATGACACAGACTCTATGTGTAGGTCTATTGTACAAGTCCTACAGTATATATGAGAGGTGTATGACCCTGTGTTCCCCAAAACAGCTTTTAATTGGGCTGTCATTGGTCAAGCTGCTCCTTAGAAAGAATTATGTGGCATTTCTTCGAGATGTACAGGCAGTTAAACCTTGCAACTCTACAGCTGTGCTTATCCGATGTAGGGCTATAGGTTTACTTAAGAGCCCAAGACAGGCCATGCACAGATAAGAATGTAAGCTTAATGGGGTGTGTATGCTGATGTCCTACCTATTTCTTCCATCCAGAATGTCACTTAGTAATGTATTAAACTGTTTGGAGATTGCATGGAACAATTTATTCTATAATGATAGTGTAGAGTAGAAACATGATCTGAAGGCCTTAAGGGGTCAGGCCAAAATGGTAATTACAAGTCCTGAGTTTAGGAAGGATGAGTCCTTACCCACAAAATTGGATGTGTGCCGAACGTTGTACCCCGTGGGAATCGCGATGCCGAGAATGCGTGCGACTTTTTGGTTGTAGTCTTGACTACACTGTTTAATGTCCGCTTTAAAGTCCATTGGTATTGGAGACTACAAAAAGACTACAAGATCGGATTTAATCGGATTTGTAGTCTCTGGTTTCAATAATACTGTGTTTTCGTCCTGGGCTTTCGGTGTATTTCCATGGTTTCTTCTACGAAGAGGTTTTTTGGGTTATCCATCTACTGGAATATTTTGAGCATTTACTCATATCTCCTTCCTTTACTGCATGCACTTTGTCGTGTGTGGCATGTTGTTACCGTGGGAATTGACTTCTGTGGCTGTTTGTAGTCGGTGGCTGAGGTGCTGCGCCGGTTGGGATCTCTGGCTTCTCATTGGCTCCTGCTTATTATGACATAGCTTGACTGCAGAAAGCACATTTCTGTTGTTGAGTGATGTCATAGTTGCCCACTCGCTCATTAGTCTAGGACGTGCAGCAGTTGAAGCATGTCAACTTGGTGGGATGTGCTTCCTGTTAATCCAATCATTACTGGTACATACACATTGATCTTAGGTTGGTTATAAGAGGTTGTTGAATGTTGCACTTGTGTTCTGAAATAATACACTGACTGCTGAATAGTTTGATGGATTGTTACTGTGGGAACCAGTCTCAACATTGATTGTTTTTCACACACATAGTCTGAGTCGACATGTGGGTGGCAGAGACTATGATACAAGTCTCTTTGGTTGCAGGCATCTTGGGCCTGTGCTTTTCAATCTCTGCTGCCTCTGGAACCCTGATTTCTTCTGCTCAGTGGTCTCTATATGTCCCCTTGAGAAACTGAAACTAGTACATGTATAATATATATATTTTGTTTCTGCTCCCAGCTGCTTGGGGTACTCTTTGAGTATCCTTTCCAATGACTGTCCTTCAGCTTGGTTCAGGAAAAATGAGTGTGAGGAAGCTGCCAATTCGATTGGCAGTGGATGAGCACTCTGGTTCTGGTTGGATGTTACCTGGAGTCTGCAGGTGATATTGACTGTCTCTTCCACTGGGGACAAATGACCTGTGTGACAGAGCTGCCAATCAAAGATTGGCAGCAGAGGAGCACTTTGATCTATGTTACTTGTGTCTAGTAGTGCAGCTGCTACTATCCCCTGGGCTGGGTACAAATACAATTTTGTAGCCACCAATACCAACCAACTTTTAATCTGTCAGAGTGGCAGGGACTTTTATGGTATAATGATGGCAGGGCCACAGGAGGACAAAGTATGAATGAAGGGGACATTGCACATACAGAGCTTTTGATATGTGCATAAGAAAGAGTACTGTATACATCAATTGGAACATTTATACACCCAATGCTATCACTTATCAGACACAACTCAGGACTCGTGTCCTGCCATGCATAGCAATGGCCCTCTACTGACAGGTTTGGCTAGTACACGGTCAGAATGTCTTGTGCTCTTGTGCTCTTAAGCGAAGCTATAGCCCTACCTTGGATAAGCATAGCTGTAGAATTGCAAGGTTTAACTGCTTGTACATCTTTAAGAAATGCCATACAATTGTTTCTAAGGGAGCAGCTTGACAGCCTCCTCTGGCTCGATACCGTCCCGCCACCTGCCCTCCGTTGCACCTTCCACGCTCTTTCTATCTCTTTCTCTCCGGAAAACATCCTCAGCGCCGGATCCAGACGGCTCGGACGTGGTCACAAGTTTCGCGTCTACGAGAATAACTCTGGCTTTTGCATTCCCGGCGGTATAATTCCGGTACCGAGCGTCACAGTCTTAGTGGTATTAATAAGACGACGTTGACCCATATAGCGGTTCAGAGGGAGGTGTTAGCTGACTCGCCAGGTGAGTGCTCACGCTGTGACCAGCATACGATTCAGATGGAGTAGCGCGCAAGGGGTTGATCGCGTTGCATCCAGCTCTGGTCGACAGTTCGATTCCGATCAGGTAGGATACGAGTCTGACGGACGAATACATCGGGCGCTTGCGAGAGCTCGTCTGGTGAGTGCTCATTATGATGCCGACACACATGCTACTTGGCTTCAGAGGTTGACTGAAACCTTGACGCCCAAGGGATTAAAGCCGCCTTAACTACCAGACTGACATACACAGATCACTGCACTCTACCAGTGCCGCCATGTCCACGTCCACCACCGACGCTCTCCCGCCCACCAAATCGCCCCTGCTCACCCTCCCCGCCGAGCTCATCGAAGCCATCCTCATCGCCCTCGCGCCCTCCTGCGTCTCCCCCCCATCCCCGCTAGACGACCCCGCCCTCCGCCCCGAACACACCCTCCTCCTCGCGCACACGCTCGCCGCGCTCTCAGTTACCTGCCGCCAGCTCAACAGGGTCCTCGCGAGCCCGCCCGACGGGCATCTCTGGCGGGAGATATACCTCGGCGTGTGGGACGACCCGCGCCGCGCGATCAATGCGGGGGTCGCGCCCGGGTATGGGCACGGGCACGGGTCGGCGCACGGGGAACCGAGGTATGTAGTCATCAGGTCCGCGCGCTAGCGCGCCTTGCTGACGATGTACGGATGCAGCGGGAGCAAAGCGAAGGACGTCGACTGGGAGGGCGAGTTCAAGGCGCGCGTGCGCGCCGCGGCGTACTTTCTCTCTGCCCCCTCGTCGCCCTCCCCGTCCTCCTCGCACACGACGCGGGAACAGGAAGCAGCCTTCCGCGCGCTCCTGGCGACGCTGCACACCGCGCACCCGATCCCGCCCGCGCTCGCCGCGCCGCTCGCGAGCTGGGCCAACTTTCCCGTGCCGGGGCAGCCGCTGCCCGCCGTCTTCCCGCGGTCTGCGTCTGGGTCGGGGTCAGGAGGGGAGGGCATCAGGAAAACCCTCCCATGCTAATTAGACATAATTTAGACAAAATTATGTATGATCGCAAAAAATCCCTCTTATGCATATAATTGCTGCATAATCTAGAATGACCGACATCTAATCCACATGACCTGCTTCTGACTTCAGAACAAGTGATATACCTCTGTTAGCTCCCATAACGGCCAACCTTCATCAACTTGTTCATGCAGATCCATCCGGAGAACTGGTCAAAGCTATGAGGTAAGTATGCAGAGTGGTTCAAGGAATAGTTACATACCTTCCATAGCATTCATCCCATTCCAGCAATGATAGGTGTTTGTAGGCTCAAAGTCAGCATCAAAGTTCTTCTTGAAAGTGAATGGCACAGGTTCCAGTAACCTGTGTGGGTATGCATTGCATTTTGCCATACCCGTGACCCGAAGGGTATCGAGAACACATCGTTTAATGTGCTCTTGAAACCGAAACCCGCGGTACCCGAGTACCTGTCCCCGACCCGTCAACACAGCGGGTTTGATACGGGTACACATCATGGCACCCATGGGTTTATGCATGCCATTCACTATTATAATTATAATAATGACATCTTCCCATTCACTGGGATGTGCTGCTCCTCGTACCAGCTACACTACCTACCACCCAAGCTACGGGTAGTCGTACCTGTATCTGGTTGATCAAGAATGTATATATGTTCCAGAAGAGTGCACATACCCACCGACATATCCAGCATGCCATAGCCCTGGGCTCCAGGCTTGTTAACACCGTGGTCATCACGATGTCATCCGCACCATGCTCGGCGGCGTATGCGGAAACCTGTATGTGTTGGAAAGCCCCCATTGCCAATGAGAACATAGTTGAGCTCGAAGTCTGAGGGACTTGGACGGACTTGGCGGTTTCTCCTCAAAGCCCGGTCATCCGGTTACAAGTAGCCGGTCACATGACATTGTTGATACCGTGTTTTTGAACTCCGATTCAATCTGCCGTGTTCAACATTCGCGTCGTCTCTCATTTCCTTCCTTGCTGGCAGCTGGCTCACTCGCCGTCGTCACGTTCCCCTCCCTCGGGCAAGGAGCTTTTCGGTCCCATTTTCATGCACCGGATCGTCCGTATGCACGGGCCTGACTCATGCAGGGAGTCGCGGGCGACGTCTCTGGGTATGTTCCACTGACTCAGTCATGTCTGTTCTGCAACGAACTCTCATGATCACAGGTTTCCATGATGGCTGCCAGCGCATTCTCCTGGCATACCGGATCCCGTCACTCCATTGACCGGGCCCTGCTCAACGCCGCAGGATACAATGTGTGCTGAATGAAGTGCCAGTCTGGCATAAGCTCGTGCGTGCACCCATCTTTATACGTGCGCCGTGTAAGGTGAATATGGTCAGTTCAGAACAAACTCTGCATGCCATACATTGATTTATGGGTTAGCTGCGATTCGGGGCACAGGCTACTATGAGGGGGTGGTGCAGCTGTAGATGCTCGGGTATGTGCTCGGGGCCTGCTCGCATGGGTGTATGTGAAGCTTCAGATCTAGTTGGATAGGTATGTACTCAACATTGTGGAGCTATTGCTGTGGTCTCTGATGGTGTGTCTTGTTGTCACCATTGCGCCTTCGCTGGCCCCTGCACTTGTCCAGATGTGTCGTGTGCACGCCTGACACTCTGGGCATGCACATGCATGTGCTGCGCGGCCTCCCACTTGCCGAAAAATATGTCCATTGTCTACCCGGAGTAAGTTGTCTCTCTTTGCTGTGTATGCTGGTGGCTCATGATTCTGTATTGCAGGCTGTATGTCTTCATGCCCGGGTCTGTATCCAGGTGGTTTGCACTATATCATATATAGGTGTGTTCTGATGGCTGAATGATCTGCCCTACCTATACTTTGTCCGTGCCTTCTCTCATCCTGTCCTGCCATTGGAAGCTTTCCTAGCCAGCTTTGTGGGGAAAGTGATAGGCTAATGAGGGCAGAGAAACTGTAGTTACATGCCTGTCTGTAGCTACATTGTGAATACATATCCATGCTTTTTATGCTATCCCGGCAAATGATACAATATGCTTGCAACATGAGTGCCATCTGACAGGACATGATGCTGTCTAATTGGTAATAATTATACCTAATTAGCTGGGGGACAAACCTAACTTGTATAATTAGATAGAACTGCATAATGCAGCTAATCCTGCATAATTATGTGGGATTAGACATGATTAGATATAATTAGCTTAGGAGGGTTTTCCTGATGGGGGGAGAAGGGGAGAGACTGGAGTGGCCGCTCGCGAGCCGGAATGTGGATTGGGTGCGCGGGGTGCTGGAGCGCGGGTGGCCGGAGGAGGTGGGGTGGAGGCTGGTCGGTGGGGAGCCGCCGCGCGCGTTCGAGCGCGGGCGGAGGAAGTGCAGGGAGGGGGAGGGGGAGGATGAACACGAGGAGGAGGGGGTCGACGACGGCGGCGAGGGGAACGGCAAGGGCAAGGGCAAGGAGAAGGAAAGGGAAAGGGAAAGCGAAAGCGAGAAGAGGCACCCGTCGCGGAGGAGACCCAGCCGCGCGGGGGTGTTTGACCGGTGCGCCCTGCTTTCTTTGGCTTATTTTGAGGGAAGGTGAGTGATGTGACGGGTGTACAGGGAGTTCGACGAGAGCGGGGCGGGCCAGGCGTTCTGGCGCCTCGTGGCGTATACGGGGTTCATACCCACCCGGCGGGGGCGCGCGCGCGCCAGGGTTGATCTGAGCGCCAGCGCGGACGGCAGTGAGAGTGGGGATGAAACGCAGGATGGAGGAGAAGGGCGGGATGGGGAGGACAGGCAAGACGAGGGTAGGCCGTCAGAGGAGGGCGCTTGGCGTCCCGCGGACAAGGAAGGAGATGCGAATATGAACACGAGCGCGGAGGACGACGAGCGCCCGCCAGACCTCCTCTCCGTCTCGGACGAGGACGATGGGGACGACAGCGACGCGGACCTCCCCGCGCGCGCGCGCCGCCTCGCGCGCATGCGCGTGTACAACCTGCAGTACCTCCGGCGCGAGCGGCGCTGGGGCCCGTTTCTCCCCGTCTCCAACGGGAAAGAGAGGAGGGAGGAGCGGCCGTTTATGTTTCTGCGCGCGGCGGAGGGCGAGGGCGAGGGCGAGGGGGTGTTGGTGCTGGATACGGAGGAGGGGGAGGAGGGCGGGCGCGTGGTGGTGCATGTGCGGATTGAGGGGGAGGGAGGTCAGGAGGGGGAGGGGGAGGGGAACGAGTACGAAGACGCCGACGCGTCCTCGGACGGGTCGGACCACCCCGCTGAGGACGGGCGCGGCGATGACGAGGAAGGAGACGAGGACGACGAAGAAACCGCGTCGTCGCTCCTCTTCCCGCTGCTCAACCTCTCGCCCACCCCGCCGCCCGCACAGGCGCCCGCGCTCCCCCCGCCGCGCGCGCTCCGCCCGGACTGGGCGTACCTCGCGGCCGTGCGGATGGTCGTCGAGGCGAACTTGGTGGAGACGGTCGGGGAGGGGGTGATTAGGGGCTTGGGGGAGCTGGGAGGTGTGCGGGGGCGGGTGATGAGGCCGGGGACGGGGGGCAAGGAGGAGGTGGGGGAGGAGAGGGAGAAGGCGGAGGGGGAGTGCGAGGGGTGGGATTGGGCGGGCGTGGAGGGGGCGTGGAGGCGGTGTGTGTGCTGGATGGATTATCGGGATCTTATTTGTGAGTCGACTGCCCCGTCTGGGTTCGCGTGTTTTGACCTTCTGGAATCGGCGCTGCTGTAGTGAATAACGTACGTCACTGCTGCTACTCGCTTGTCTCGTCATGTACTCATTCGTGACAGCTGCATGCCCCCGCGACGCGGTACAGCTCCCCGACGCTCCAGGAGGCGATGCGCATCATCCCCCTGCAGCTGCATGTCTCGCATTACACGCCGAACCCAGATTTCCCCGACAGACCTGATATCCATGTGGAAGGGCAGGTGCGGGTGTTTTCCTCATGGCACCCCTGTGGTCCTACTATCCCTTCTTACTCTGTGTGTCTGCAACACCTGTTGATGTGCTGATACCTGAAAATAGGCTGCGGGCCCGGACCATACGATGAGGAGAGTATGGGGTGTTGTGGGCATGATCGGGAGAAATTGGGAGGAAGCTGAAGTTAGGTGGAATTTGGTGAGTCGTCTATCGCGAGTCTGATTATACCGATACTGACTTCACGGATCCGCAGATTCACTGCCGGCGCGACGGCGACCGCTGGCAGAACGAGTGGGCGATGGAGGGTGTCCAGGCGGGCGCAACCGGCTCGTCGATGGGTGTCCTGGGTATGTGGACGGGTGCGAACCATGAGCGGACGGATCCGTTGGGCCCGAGCTGGATGTGGAAGGTGATGCACTGAGAGAGGGAGGTGTGCTCGGCGTGGTGTACGGCGTGGGTGGGCGTCTTGCTCGCATAGTATGGTCTATGTCGGATTCTTTTTTACTTACTGTCTTGTCAGTGGCGGTTCGAGTAGACGCGAATATGGGTACCGTCCTCCTTTGGACGTCACGGACTAACCAAAGACATTCCAATATCTTGTGTATTTTCTCAACTGCTGTAGCATACATGCACCCTGTACTTCGCCCTTAAACCTTTGATCTTGTGCTAGGGAATGCGCTCATGCGACTGACCACTGCGCTATCGACGGGTTGCAAAGGTGGTGCGATGTGTGTAGTTGGTACGGAACCAGCTCATCCAGGCTTGTTCTCAGGATGTGACATGGAAGCGCTCGATGCGCGAGCCTCATCGCTTCTCGCTCCCGCTTACTTCGAGTTTCAACGGTAAATCAGGGTCATATTATACTGCGCACAACCATACATCGGGATATACAAACGTCCGAATAGATAAATTATTGCAATGAGAGCAGAAAGGCCCGCTAAGGCGGGCACGAGAAACACTAATAAGCCGGCTAGCGACAGGATTCGTAGTGTAGCGCCAGAGTGTCGAAGGTAGTTCAATCCTCGAACTACGGAGTAACATCAGTACCTTTCCGAACTGGTTTGCCAGGATGCCACTTACGCAGTCTCCGCATCCGTCGCCATTGGAGATACAGACCCTGCCGCTGTCAACGACCTGCAGCACGCCGTTCACGGTGTTCTTGCCCTTGTCACCGCAGCCCAGCAGATGCCCGACCGCCGTCTGGATATCTGCCCAGAGGCCGCCGTTCCAGTCAACGTAGACGCAGCCTGGCAGAGGGGCATCAGCACTGTGCAGGTGGGATGAGTATCTAGAGAACTTGGATACTCACAGTTCCCGTGGCAGGCGGGACGCCAGGCGGTCTGGATAGACCCGCCCCAGTAGTGGCACGTCGGGCTCCAGTCGGGAAAGTCGGGCCAGTTGTCGTGCAGCCACTGGCAGTCGGAGAGCGTCGCGTCGCCGGTGGTGCCGCACGTTGGCCGGTCGTCGATGTTGCCCTGTCGCTTCATGAGCCCCGGGAGGGTGGCGGCGGAGGCGAGGGTGGAGGCGGCGGCGGCGATGCTGACGGCAGAGAAGAACTTCATGGTGGTTGAAGAAGTGAACTTAGGGGCGAGGGCTTCTTCGTATGTTGGACTGCTGAGGTCTGGGCAGGTACGACTATGAAGGCAGCTTTATATACTGTGCTCGAGCACTTACTGAGCCACCGTCGTACCAGACTCAGAGTCGAAATCCTATATGATGTAACAACCCTCGAAACAAGTCCGTCTTCAGCCAAGTCTGAGGGGTCGCATCATGAGGCCACAGAGGATCAATGACATACGTTCCTTGGAGCAAACATATGATGGCGGGTTGCAGCTTCAACCAGCTGGTCTTCTGGGCCGCAGGCATCCTCTGCATTCGTCTCCGGGACGATTAGCTTCGTCTTGGCAGCAAACCTCGTCGGCGGGGTTGTGGCGCGACCTGTGCATTTCGTCGTACTGTAAGTATACTCCTGCTGCGACTCGGACATCAGCTCGTTCTGCTCAAATGATTGGCCGCGGGATTTGCAACCTCCTCTGTTGATGAAGTGGAGTCGGCTCGGCCAATCCTGAGGCGAAGAGCCATCAAAGTCGGGCATCAAAGACAACTCTGGGCTTGGGGAATGCCACAACGGTATTTGGGAAGAACGATACCATCGACGACTTGTAGACACATGCTCTCTGACAGTTAAATGTATCGGTAAGTATGGCTTCACTGACGAGGACTTGAACGAAGAATGTTGAAGGTCCGAGGAGGACGAAACGCCGCCGGCATCCGCTAGATGTGGCTGTGCTCCATCCTGTTGAAAGTATTCCACCTCATCACTTTTGATCCGTCAAGTACCCTCTCTCGCTAATCAGTACTACGCTACGCTGCTCCTCTTCATGGCTGTGAGCAAGACAATAAATGCTGGATGAAGTCGCGTCATGGTCTGTTTTGTGCTCCATCCGCCCTTGGCGGTGGCATGGCTTGCACTCTTGGACTGCAGCGTGATGATTCCCAACACTCACGCCGGGTAACTTCACTACTCGTTCGTCCCGCCTTGGCCTTGCGTTATGTGGAGTTGTCTGTGATAGATGTTTTGCCGCGGACCTGACCGGCTGCAAGGTAGCAAAGTACCATATGCCAACCTGGACGGATGAATTGCAAGGTATAAAAGAAGGGCTGAATCAACCGAAGGAGGCAGCATAACCAGCCAGCGCGTCTTCACCCCTTACTCAGACAGATTTTCCTCCAATCCATACTCACTTGATAATGCTATCATCTGCCTTCATCCTCCTTGCAGGGGCCGCTCTCGCTACGGCCTCGCCCTTAGCCCCCTTACTGGGGGCGCGAGAGTATGTTTCCTGCGGTACGACGCAGGACGCAGACCTCGCTGCATGTCAATCGATTCTGGACAACTGGAGCGGGCAGCTGGACCAGAGCCATCGCTGCACGTACGGCGCAAGGAATTCAGCGTGGAACGTCGCCTCTGTCCCAGGATGTGAGTGCCCTTTCCATGAACTCAGTCTACTAAGATGACATATATACGTGCTCTCCGTAAAAGGCTCGGTTTACGTGACGGACGCGGATAACAAGGAGCCGGACGCCATAAAGGAGACGGTCCAGATTCTCATGGGCTGCGCGGACACGAGCAAGGGCAAGGTCAACGGCCTCACCACCCTCGCCGACGGCACCGGGGTGTGCATCGGCGGCAACGACGGCTGCGGCGAGTGGGTATCTCTCTCACCCGTACAGTCAGGACGCCCAGCTAACCCAAAACTCCCCGCCAGTTGCTTCGACGATGCAGACTTCCAGCCTCCTAGGCGCCGCTCCGTCGAGCCGATATTCTCCAACAGCACCATCGAGAAGCGGCAGTTCGCTGACATCGCTGGCAGCGTCGCTGAGCTGCTCGACGCCATCCTCGGACAAGGCGGGAGCGACAACACGAAGCGCGCGAACGGCGTGCGTAACGTCGTCGACGGCATGGCGAAGAAGTACAGCCCCATCAACGTCGTCGCGTGCCACACGGACCACGAGGCGAAGTTCGACGGCAGGGCACGGACTGGGTGCACCAGCACTTCGAGATCGATATTGAGATCGGTGGGACTATCGGGTACGAGCTCTATCTCGGCAACACTGGTACCTTCAAGCGTAACGGCGACGGTGGTGATATCAACTGGGGCTGGTCAGTATTTGAACGCCTCTGGGAGAGCAATTGACTTATCGTTCACTTCTCATAGGAATGCTGCGTTGGCGAAGCCCGCCGAGGACAACGGTTCTTTCCTGACCTTTGCCAACCGGAAGTAAGCCACTCTTCGAAACCAAATTTGCACCTTTAGTTCCTGCAGCGAACATACACGATCCGGACCTCCATTAATTAAGTTATTCCAGCTCGCTAGCTAGTACTGATCAAATATGTATCTGTGTTAATCAAGTAAATATCACTGTTGTTGTACTGTAGTGAAATCCAGCAGTGACTCAGTGTCTGCTGTCCCGAGGGATCCTCAACCTCACTGATAACCGTGCGTCTTCACTATGAGTGGTGAATCCATGGCACAATTTGATTGGTACACGAAAGAACCACGAATATCATCAGCTCATCGAACCAGTCATAGTTTAGTTTGTTCTGATTCAATTGCTCATCATTCCTATTTCTGGCGTATAATACAGTTTCCAACACATAGACATGTAAATAAATATAATCAAGGCGAAATGCACAGATAGAGGACTCGTGGTGTGAGCGGGAAAACCCTGAACACAAATTAATCTTCGAACTACAGAATACAGGTCAAAAATCGCTAAGATTCCTTAGGTGCTGAGTGAACTTACGCAGTCTCCACACCCGTTTCCATTCGAGAGGCACACCCGGCCGCTGTCGACGACCTGCAGGACGCCGTTCACGGTGTTTTTTGCCTTGTCGCCGCAGTCCAACAGGTGAGAGACTGCAGTGTGGATGTCGGCCCAGAGGCCGCCATTCCAGTCGGTGTAGATGCAGCCTGGATGGGAACGTTCAGTAGGAAATCCGGGCTCGACGGGCAGCTCGATGCTTACAGTTACCATTACATGCGGGGCGCCAGGCCGTCGATACCACGCCGTCGAAGTAGTGGCACGTGGGGCTCCAGTCGGGGAAGTCGGGCCAGTGGTCGTATAGGTACTGGCAGTCGGACAAGGTCGCGTCGGCGGTCGTGCCGCATGTGGGTTGGTCGTCGATGTTTCCCTGCCTTTTCATGAGGCCGGGGAGGTTGGCAGCGGAGGTGACGGTCGCCGCGGCAGCAATGATAGTTAGGGGGTAGAGGAATTTCATGTCAGTGCTGCTGGTAGGTTAGGTGAGCGCGGCTTGTTGATGAGTACATCAGGAGAGTAGCTAAGCTTTTATACTTAGGCTGGAGTCAGCGAGCTCTTTACTGCTTGCATCGGGGTTCATTATGACGCCAGTTCCTACTTGCCCATGACGAGGTGCATATTGGTGTCGAGTCAACCTCCGAAACAGCTGAAACACTGGCGCTGCTGCGAACAAATCCAAGAGTCCAAATCATGGAGCCAGAGGGAGCTAGTGACAGTTGGTAAACGGATGATGATGGTATGCAGTATAATGGACCTTTGAAACTTTCCCCCGAGGGCAACGGCAAGCATTGGTTGTCGTACTCAGAGCCACTCCTCCGTGACTCGCATCAGGAACCTCGGAAATCTCCATATGCTCCATATGGAGTCACACGGAGCCCCGGAGCGACGGAGAGGTCCCCCCATCATCCCGAGAAGGCCATCTCCGTCCTGAGCAGGACGGAGACAGCGTCTCCAGATGGAGACTCCTGGAGACACCACGTGGCTTCAGCGGGAGTTCGTATACCTGACACCCGATATCTATCCCTCACATAGGGACAGGATATGGGCTTATGTTTTTGCTATACGTGCTCCTCTTTGCATTCGAGCAAAATTTAGCACATATTACTGTATATTAGTGGGGGGCATGTCTCCGGATGGAGACCTCGTCTCCGTCTGGAGAACCTGTCTCCATCCCGCACATGGCGGAGCCGCGGAGACGCTGTCTCCATCCGGAGATATTCCGGTTTCCTGATGCGGGGAGTAGGTAAGTTTGGTAACCTCCATGGCGCTGACATCAAGCACAGGATGGCGCGTTCAAGAAACGAACCGCATTTGCAACGCTCAGCCAGAATTGATTGGAGTCTTCGCAACCAATCCCGTGGTGCGAAACCATCAAAGTCGGACATTGCATTAGGTCACGGTTGTTGCTAAAGGTGATATATACTAGTATCTGCAGGGACTTGCTGAAAGATGAGATAAGTACTTAGAGCAGCTCAGGCTGGGTAAATTATAGTTGATGTGTCGCGCTTGCGAGTACTGAACGCCCACCTTCTTAGAGAAGGGTAATGAAAGGCATGCATGCAAAACGTTACCGTCACGGTACAAAGTAACCACGGCCCGGGCGGCGGCTGTGCAGTCCCATCGTTCCCTCCAGTACGGACCCGTGAAGAAAGCCTGACAGCACCCTGTATCCGACGAGTCTAACACGATCCACTTCTATAGTTGTGCATGGCGCGTTGCTTGATGCTGCGTCTCTCGGTTGATTCGCGCTCCATTTCACTCTTGGCGGCCAGATCGCAGTAAGTGCGCCTCCTGCCAGACCGCTTCCGCTCGAGTCCATCGTGATATGCTCTTTTCAGAGTGGGACTCACTCTCGAGTGGTAGCTGCAATGAGTCTTGAAAATTCAGCCGGCTGGCGCGTTTCAACCGTGGAGTATTGGCAGGTTTACCGCTCCACTCTTCATGATGTCCTCTACCCTGCGGCGGATTGACTTACCGCCGTGCGTACCATGCGGTAAGCATCCAACGTATAAAAGGTGGTGCGAGTCAGTATTGACTAACACAACAGCCCATCTACTTCTTACACGTACCGACAGCACTCGGCACCCTCTACATTCGATAATGTTGTCTACCGTGTTCGTCCTCCTTGCAGGTGTTGCGGTCGCCACTGCCTCTCCTTTGCTCGAAGCGCGTGCAGATGTGCACTGTGGTACAACGCAGGACGCCAACCTGGCCGCATGCCAGTCCCTCCTTGATAACTGGACTGGCACTCTAGTCAAGGATAACACGTGCACATATGGCGCGACAGGCAGCGCGTGGAATGTGGACTCCGTTCCTGGCTGTGAGTCCCTGCGCTTCGGTTTACAAATATTTACTACAATCTAACTACTTTGTGTCTCAGGCTCACTCTACATGACTGATCCCGACAAGGAGCCAAATGCGGTGAAGGAAGCACTTCAGAATCTGTTGAACTGCGCCGACAAGAGCAAGGGGACAGTCAACGGTCTGACGACCCTCGCAGACGGAACCGGTGTATGCATCGGCGGTAACAAGGGTTGTGGCGAGTGAGTCGCTCATTTATTGATCGCTTCAATGGACTGAGAACCATCCCCTCTTCAGTTGCTTCGATGACGCCGACTTCCAGCCCCCAGGGCGCCGCTCCGTTGAACCGACATTCTCCAACGGCACCATCGAGAAGCGTCAATGGGCGGACGTCGCCGGGAGCGTCGCTGAACTGTTGGACGCGGTGATTGGCGCAGGCGGGAGTGACGACACCAAGCGCGCGAACGGAGTCCGCAACGTTGTCGACGGCATGGCGAAGAAGTACGCGCCGGTCAATGTTGTGGCATGCCACACGGACCACGTGGCTAGCTTCGACGGCGTGCAGGGCACGGACTGGGTTCACCAGCACTTCGAGATTGATATCTCGGTTGGGGGAACGATAGGGTACGAGCTATACCTCGGAAACACTGGTACCTTCAAGCGCAACGGCGATGGCGGTGACATCAACTGGGGTTGGTGAGTATCTGTGGCCCTGCCGCTCGAGAGCGACTCATTTATTACCGTGCACGTTGCCAGGAATGCTGCATTATCGAAGCCCGCGGAGCAGGACGGCTCCTTCCTGACCTTTGCGAACCGCAAGTGAGAGAGAGGCGGCTGGTTGCATCAGCTGTAGACCGTCGTCTTGTATTCTTATCCTTGCTCAGACCGTAGAACACACATGATTCGGACTCCTAATTCTTAACTTATTTCACCTTGTTTGCTGTCACGTAATAACCTCTGTCTCCAATCATCTCTTAATCTATGTGTCTATCGCTCGCTGTTGTACTATTCAGTGAAATCTGCCATTACTGTCTCCAAAGCATAAGCGCTGTCCATCTGCGAGGTTATTGCGTGTACATCATGAATGTCTTCGTCTAGATATCATGGGCACCTTGCCTTGTCTCGCCGTACGACATTCTCTGTGAGCAGCTCACTGACTCACCTTCCTCTCCTGAACTGTAAACACTACGGTAAAGGCGGTATCCTGACCGTCGTTTTCCTCTCTCGTCCCCCGGAGAAGCGTCAAGATGATCCATAGCCCAAAAGTGTTACAATGCAGCGTGCTCAGGAACAGAAACTCTTGAAGCAATTATTGGCACTGCAGGGAGTGATTGCGGAGCAGGAGGTCTCAAGCATACCGTGACTAGTGAGCATGTTAGGTGCAATATCGTGGGACAGCAGGCTCACTTGGTTGGAGGATGTCAGCAGGAGTCTCGGATACGAGACCAGCTTTCGTCCCAAAAGGATAGACTAAGCGACCTATAGGAGCTCGTCGATTCTTTCGTGGCCTTATACTGCAGAAGGCTTATCAGTACAGTAACGGCATTGCCCGACTCCCATGTACATAAGACTCGGAGGAGAAATGTCGGAGAGATGTCCGCTTCCAAGCTGATGGCATACAGAGCGACAGATACAACTCGAAACTCACCTCTACAGGGCGCCCTAAGACCACATAACCACGAACTAACTGCACTTGGCGAGGTAGCTCCTACGAAACCTGGCAAGTGTCTTTTTCGACAGCCAGTCGAGCGCACCAGCTCCCAACTTACCGCCTACCAGAGCTACGCAAATGGAGCGACTGCTGTCAATGTAAGTAGTAGTATCCCAAGGACAAGAATTTGACGCGCGCCTACTATTGTCCTGTCAGATATTAATGGCCAATTCGAAATTGAGCACGCCTCATAAAGACCGCAGGCTGACTATATCCGAAAGGCACTTGCAAGCTGCAGTGCACGATCATCAGATATAGAGATATATAGGCGAGGTACAACTTTCGTATAGTTTCTCGCACAACTTCCAAGTACCTTGATCCCATCCTTCGACTTCTGTCCCTTGCTCCCACTTTAATTCACATGTTCGAACTGAACTCGTCTGAGCCTACAGGTTTGGCGTCGGGCTCTACCAATGGACCTGGATGGGAGAATCTTCCCATGTCTCAAATCATTCGAGCAACTTCTGACGGCACTAAAGATGTCGACTCCGACGGTCCGAGTCGTCTCCAAGTCCGTGCTACTAGTAGTACCAGCTCCCCCGGCCTCCCGTCCGCGCCTTCTACAGTGGTATCAGGACCTCAGAGGTTAGGCACGGAAAAATGGCAGAGTTGGCGAGCTGCGTATGAGGCTCGTGCTTGGAGGCAGATGTACGATAGAGTACGAACGTATCATTGGTTCTGGCTGTGTGTGGGATACGTGGCGGTGTGCTTGGCCATCATTCTGCCTCTCACTCATAGCTTGGAAGCGCAGAGCCTCGTGCGGTTGGACCTTCCAGTGGAGGATGTTAACGCAACTGTGAGTATTCCCGTCATCACCCAACCCATTATCTACACGCGTGATTGGACTGAGGCTTTTGTTCGGGCGGATAGATCGGTGTTTCGGGTACGCTCAGCTCATTTGTTCCCGAAAATAATTCTGTCGCCGTTGACTGGTCCTGGACTGGGGCCATCTGTTCACTGGGAAACCAGCTGAGCCCGCATTCCATCTCATTTATTGTCACTGTGTCAGTCCCAGTTTCTCTTCCTTGTTTAGGGACTAACTCAAATTACATCAAAACTTAGGATGACTGACTTCGGTGCCGCTGAAAGCTATATGAACATCACCGATGTGTGTGGAAACTTCTCAGAAAGTCCGACCCCATTGCGGACGGTCATGGCAGTAACGCCCGCGCGGGCGCCGCTCTACCCCTTCGACTCGTCAGTGATTCTTTTAACACGTCTAGCAGTCAGGCTGACTTCCAAGCCTTATTAGGTATTCTACGTCGTTTAGTCTGTGGGCAGTGAACGATGACGGTAGCCCCGCAGGCTTTGGCATCGACTACATAAATGGGTTTACACCGTATGTACTGGAACTACTCGACCTCGCTAGTACGCTCAATAACCGACTTGGCCTCCCTCTCGTTTCCCAGAGGCTTTACTACACGTTTGGATGTGTATTACTCACAGCCCAACGATATCTACTACGCAGCGGTCGTAATTACACGAAGCACCGCCGTCCGCGCGTATGTTGTGGCAGTAGTCGTCGCGATCTGTGCGTGATCCTCTATTATCACTTCAGCCTTGACTTTTCATAGGATGTAGGGCTCGTAAGCCTTACGTTCCTTACCATCTGCATCTCCGTGATATTCCTCGGGCGGACGGTGAGAGCGGAAGTTCTGGTCGCCCCGATCGCATCCGTCTTTGCCTTCACGGGCTTACGGGGCAGTCTGCCGGGTGCACCAACGGATTTCAGTACGTTCGTGGATCTCAATTCGGATAACACAATTGACTCCATGGTGTGCCTGGCAGGCGCTGCAATCGGTAAGCTCTCTCCTTGATTGTGGAGCGTCACCGCTGACCCGGCGTTCGCATGGATGCCTTATTCCAGACATTATGGGTACATTGCCTTGCCTAGCGCTTTTGGCATTCTCCGTGAGCTGGCAGCCTTTCCATATGAGGGATAGGGTTCTCTCTAACATTGAGAACTATGGTGAAGGCGGTGCTCTTGACAGGAGTTTTCCTGTTTCGTGACCCCGAAAAAAGCAGACATGGTCTACAACCAAGAGACATGGAAAGTGGTCTTACGGATCCGCAAGGTCGTGAACAGGAACTGCTGAAGCAATTACTGCAGGGAGTGATTGCGGAGCAGGCGGTCCTCAAGCAGCTATTAGATGCGGTTCTCGCGGCACAGCCGGCTCGCTTTGTCGGGGAATGATAGTGGGAGTCTTCTCTGACATTACAGCAGGTTTCGTGACATAGTATCGACTCTATGATTCCTCTTGTCTACTGAATTTCTTGCGGGCATATTGCTGCGAAGTGCCTCCGTAGCCTGACTGGAAAGGTTTTTGTAACAAACGCTTATGTCCTGGAATTGTATCCTAAATCGCCTAAAGTCACTATGTAGCGTATTCTTGCTCTCCTGGATATGTATATGTGTGCTCGGTAAGGACGTCGATCAAGGCTGGAATTCATACTTCCACACGGGAAGGTGGCCTCCGGCCAAATAAGGCAGTGTGGCTACCATATTGAGCCGCGGATCGTGGCGCGAAGTGGCATTAGATCAGAAGCGTGATGTCTCACACTTCAAGTCTCAACTGTCAAACGACTGCCACAACCAAGCCACAACTTCATTCTGATTGCCATTGGATTTTCTCGATGAGCGACGTCTCGACGCCTGCGTTGGTAGAGGACGACTTGGAGACGAGGATTGCTCTGCGCGCCGCCCAGCGGGCCGCTCGGACCCAAGAGAGGATCGCGGCTGCCGAGGCTTGCAAAGAGAGGGTACGTCCGCCACACACTGACACCCTCCCCAGTTACTCACCAGAACTCTACTCACATTCAGGGCAACGAGCATTTCCGGCGTGGAGACTTCGTGAAGGCGGTGATATGCTACAAGGAGGCGGGCCAGACCTACCCCGCCAACGCAGTGTACGCATGCAACGCCTCCGCGTGCTTCCTCAAGCTTGAGATGTATTCACAATAATGTGCAAACGCTGTAAAGTTGCCTGACGCTTGTCATATTAGGTACGACCTGGCGGAGACCGGCGCTATCGAAGCTTTGAAGTACGACCCCCGATCGGTGAAAGCAAGATATCGCAGGGGGCTGGCACGGATGAAGCTAAAAAAGTACTGGGAGGCAATGGCTGGTAAGCTCTTAATCTCCTGGCGTGCGCGCCCTTGTTCATTTAAACTCGTACAGACTTCGTGGCTGCCTTGAGACTCGATCCCTCCTGCGAGGGCGCCCGAGAGCAACTCTACCTGGTGCGCGACGTGCTGAAAATGCACGCAGACGCTGAAGATGATAGCGGAGACGATACGGATCCAGAGTATGCTTACCCGCCCCTCGACAAGGCTCCTGCGCAGGACTGGGAGACCGGGTCTGATTCGGAGGACTTTCGGCACGAAGGCTGTTTCCTACCGTGCAAGGATTACAACCACGGCGGCTGCGAGAAAGGGAGGCGGTGCTCGTATGCGCATGGACCTGACCAGAAGAGCATACGGGACAAAATGTACGTGTGCTCGTTGTTGTTCCGAGCGGTGGTCTGAAACTCACTGCTTGCTAGTGGGCGCAACGTCTGCGCACACTATATTTTTGACGGATGCAAGGCTTCAGAAGGCCAGTGCGACTATTCGCACGATTTGCGCGCTTTGCCCGAAGAATGGATCACGCTGCGAGAGGATGGAGTATCACTCCGGAAATTCAAGGCGGTATATGTGGTCCTTGATGCATGTCCACCGCCTCCTGGGGTTGGCAGGAAGCAAACGCGAGCGCTTACCGAGATATGTCGCAATATGGTGGAAGATATGTCGGACGACCTTGAGGATTTACAGGAGGTGTTGGGGCACGGTGTATATAGCGTGTAAAATTCACATGCAGTGGCGTGATCTGCGAAGTAGAATACGAGTGCAGTCCTAACTAACCGCTTAAGGAGGGAGAAGCTAACACGCAGCTGCTTACAGATATAACATGTTTTGAAATGCGATGGTGACCTTGGTAGATTCCCTTCGAGTACTTGGCCATTTATTCACGCAATCAAAGCATTCGTATTGAGAAGTGTGGTGACGCTCACGAGCAAGCCTGTGGAGTGAGCTTAGTATTATGTTGTGAGTCGACTCGTTAGTTTAGTTGCCCGGTTATTCCCACCACGTGATCGAACACGCCGTCGAGAATTTCGAGTTGATTTCGAGGAGACAGAATTAAATTCCACGCGTCAATCACCCAGGAGCATATGTTAGTCTGGATGAATGCAACATTATGCAAGTGTACCACTTCTGAGCCGAGCGGGGGATTCGATATTCTTGGACGAATATAACCTTGTAGCTATGCGGATCGCGCCACGAAGGCACGCAGCAACCTCTAAGAATGGGTCTTCGAAAGGTGTGCGGGGTATATAAACGTGTCTGCTCACTTTTCCGTAGACAACCGTAACAGTCCTCTCTCTTACGCCCTCCAGACCGGCTCATGACCAAAGACTGCAAGGCCGACGCGCTCGACGACGAGCTGCAAAACAGGATCGCTGGACGTGCCGCACAACGTGCCGCACGCAACAGAGAGAGAATCTCTCCCGCGGAAAAGCTCGGTAAGGGACAAGCGAACACACCTATGTGCCGGACTCCGTTCTTCTGACTACCGCTACGTCCAGGGGAACGAGCTTTACAGGAGAGGAGACTCCACCGAAGCAACCAAGTGTTACCAAGATGCCAACCGCATATACCCCACCAACCCGGTCTATGGGTGCAATGCCGCTGCGTGCCTCCTCAAGCTCAGAGAGTGTGTATCCTTCGCGTTGTATGTTCATTGGCCGTGACTTACTTTGGCGTGCTGCGGAAGGTATGAACTGGCAGAAAAGGTTGCCTTCGAGGCGCTCAAGGTAGACTCCCGGTCCGTGGAGGCGAGGTATAGAAGAGGCCTGGCCAGACTGGAACAGGCGAAGTACTTGGAGGCCAGAGCAGGTGCCCATACTTGGGTATCTGCGAGATTTGATGCGGTAATGTTAGAGTTCCTGACGGTGATCAAGCTCGATCCGTCGTGCAAGGAGGCAAAGGCGAAGCTGGGGGTGGTGACCGAGACCCTGCGATTGCTCGTGCCCGCCGGGCTCGGGTACCTCGACGACAAGGTCGTCGACCCCTTACACCTGTACCCGCGACTCGACAGGCCTCCCGCGCTCGACTGGGAAACCGGCTCTGACTCCGAGGACTTCTACAAGGTCGCCTGTAGAGAGTACAACCACGCCGGATGCAAGACGGGCGCGGGGTGCCCGTTCTCGCATGCGCCTGACCACAAGAGCGCGAGAGACTTATTGTGGGTGTCGACTCGCTGGGCGTATGTCTTCTGCTGAGCGTCGATGTGCGACGACAGAGGGAGGAACGGGTGTGCGTACCATATCTGCGACGGGTGCAAGTCCGGGGACGACCGCTGCGCCTACTCGCATGATTTGCGCACGCTGCCCCAGAAGTGGTCGGCCTTGGAGGAAGACCGCGAGCTCTTGGAGAAGTTCAGGCTGCTCTGTACGAATATCGACATGTACGATTCAGAATACCCGGTTGGGGAGGATGAAGGAAGGCGAGGATGCGCGCGGATATCTGCCTGGGATTGATGAAGGACTCTTCGGAGCAGCTGAACGAGGAGGATTGGGATGCCGTGCGCCGAGGGCAGGATAACTTGTAAGATGGTAAGTGGGAGATTCTAGTGCAGCCGGTGAGCACATGCTTGAGAGGCCCCTATTAATATAATCCCGAGTTCACGACATATTTTTCCCAGAGGTTAGCCCTAGCACCTTGCCTGGCAGTGTGCAGCCATACCCGTGTATGCTATCCGCTCTCTGTTTAGATCTCAGATCGTAGCGGCGCAAGCGCCAATCCCCGACTCCAGTCAGAAACCATCAAGTATTCCAGGTACGAGTGTCTGGTCAAGTAATGCCAGTCTTGATGCGTACAGACACATACACAGTATCGATATAGTCCTGTGTTATATCTACATCAGTATTTAAAGGGGCTTCCTCCCAGTTCCCGCTCAGAGATACTAGTCTCATTTGTCAGCCTCACTTGAGTCAATGCATCCTTTTATCGAATGCTACGCACTGCATCACTTTGACCTTTCACGTCAGGTGTGTGTGGGCAGTTGTCTTCAAGTCGAAACGAAAGTGGCGTCGGTCCGGTCGGGACGTTGCTTACATGAGGTTCTCACGGCGAGAGCGAGTTGTATGGTGGAGCGACCATTTCTTCCCGACAGAACCCTCCTCGCAACTACCGTGGGAGTCGGGGATCCGCTCTCTGTTTAGATATCAGACTTACAGTGCTTTGCATAAAAGTCCGGAAAACGCGATTCGCAAAATCTTGTTTGTAGCAGCCAAACAATACCATATATAGCAATCGATCACCGCAGCTAGGCCGGCGATGTGACTCTCGTCACTGCCCATGCCTCTCCCGTACACTACGCCGGAGCTGCGCTCTCAGATTGTAGCATGGCGGTATGAACAGGGCCTTTCTGTTCATGATATCCACAAACTATGCGGTTACTCTCTCAGTACGATCTATGAAATCCTCAGCATCTACCGGACATATGGGCAGGTTGTTGACCCAAGCAATCGACCCCGAGGACGACCTCGTAAACTCGACATGAGCGACCTGGATTTCATCCATGGCTTACTGAGGGACAACCCGGCCCTGTACCTCGATGAAATACAGGAGATCCTCAGTGAACACAAAGGTCTGAATGTCTCGATTGCTACTATCTCGCGCGCTCTAACACCAAATTGCCCTCACTCGGAAAAAGATCTCGAAGACCGCTCTCGAACGGAATGAGCTCTTGCGCGCAACTTGGCAAGCACAGTGGGGGGATCTACCCATGGAGTCGATCGTATGGTTGGACGAGTCGAGTGTGGATGACCTGACGAACCAGCGGAATATGGGATGGGCAGCATTGGGTCGTGCGTGCGTGCGCCGCGAAACATTCTTGCGGGGTCAACGATATTCGGTACTGCCGGCACTGTCTGCGGAGGGCATCCTAGCACTTGATATCTTCGAAGGTTCTGTTACGAAGGAAAGGTTCAAGCAGTTCCTACGGAATGAACTGGTATGTCCCGTTGTAAGGATCGATACTCTGTACTTACAGGTGTGTAATGG